TCACATCTATTCAAGCTTATAAAACTTGCAGCTTGTAAGTCATACCATAATTGTTGTTTTATGAGTCTCACAAGTGAAGTGGATAGAAAGAGAGTGAGAAGTGTGAGGAATAAAGAAAACAAGTTTGAGGAACAAAAAGATATTATTTATGGATTTGTGGAACAAACAAGAAAGAAGAATTTCTTTAAGAATGAACTTGACTTGATGACATAAATATACTTCTTTGGAAGGCTTTTGAACAAGGTAAAGCTTATGTATAAAGGCTTAGAAGATGGCTCTTTGGTTTAAATGTTGTACTTTGGACAAAGCTCGAGGGATTTTAAGTAGACATTAGACTTTCAGACTTTATTTTTGTTCGAAAAGCTTTAGAATTAATTGGATTAGTTCCAGACCTTTAATTATGAATTTTTGTATATGCCGGGACTTAGCATTAGAATCTCCTAGTACTAGCTTAACTGAAGCATCCAAACCTTGAAATCACTTTTGAATAACTCAAAGGTCACATTAAGAACCTGATTTTTATAAATATTATCGGAATATCCCAGAAATTTTGCTCTTTTTTCATAAATTCATTCTTTCTCGCTGTGCTTGCTTTTGACACACATAATATCTCAACTGTCATGTTAATAAGAATAAAAGCTGTGGTTTTTGGCATATTGGCACATATTTGAGCAGCAACTTCTCAATTTTATATTTTTCATTTACATAAGAGAAGTTAAAAATAAAGCTGAACAGGCATTTGGCAGTTATGACATCAGACTAAGAGTCGTACGATAAAAAAAACTTTTTTTGAAAGGAAATGAATTTTCTGGTTTTTTTGCCGGTGGAATATGAGGAAATTGAGTAAATGATTTTATAATTTATGAATTGGAAGTTGTGGATGAAGATTTAATAATAGCTGAAAAATTTGCATGGAAATTGAAATTTGAGAAGTTGGTCTATAAATTTTGATATAATTTGAGTTGGAACTATATTATTGATTCTGCATTTTTGTGGCCACACATGCCATTTATTTACATTCAAAACACAGATGGTAAATATTTTAGATCCACAACTTCGTCACTGACAATTACGAATGGATATTGCATCCAAAACAAGTCAATCAACCTTCCAATTTCATTGACCCAACTTTCACTTTCAACTCTCGTTCAATTCCACCAAAAAAAATGTCTGCATGTAAAATTCTAACAGACACAGCATCAACAATTGACAAAAAATTAGCACATTGAAAAATAATCACGTCACTAAAATAACCCAAAACGGTGTAAATCATGCATGAATAAAGTCAACAGTCATTAAAACAAAAAAATTGTTAATTGCTGTGACAAATTGCGTACGATTTGATTTGACCATGGAAATAACAGCTGCAGATTTAATGTAATACTTTTGTACGACATTGCAAGATACTTCCGCTTATTAGATGAATATAATTAGACAATTTTAAATGCTTTAGCTATTCACAAGCAGTAAAAAATTTATTAGCACTTATCACTCTTTATAGATCCTTAACTACTTCCAAGATTATATTCTTCAAAAGTCCTCCAAATGATAATCGATAGCAATCCACACCAATCTGATTATGAACATAAATAATTTTCACGTTATTAAATTTTTTATTTGTACATAAATCGATTTGGCGTTTATTGATTTTTAAAATTATCATGTCGACAGATGGAAGAAGAAGGAAATGACCCATTAATGTCTAAAATCAACAAATCAAATTTTGGTGTCGTAACCTTTAGTTCGGGTTATGCAAAAAAATAATTTAAAGTGATGTGAAGGAGCTAATCTGCTGTAAGATTGTAAACAGTGGCATTTGTGGATTATTTAAGCATCTCCTCATTACCAAGATATATAGATGGGCTCATACAGAGTATACTTGACCATACTCGACCATACTATTTTTTGTGTACTTATACAAACAAAAATTTTTTAAAATTTTCTATTTTCAAGTTTTCATTTAAATATCGACAGATGCAACAACATTTGACTTAAGTCAGTTACTTTAAATTATAGCAAAGCATTTGCAATACTCCTGTATCAACAAAACTTAACAGAAAGTTGAAAATTTTGCAAAACAAAAATTGAAAATTTTCTTTTATAGTGTTAGTGCATGTTAGTGTTTTTAGAGGGCAAGACCGTTTTTCGATTAAGTGTCAGATTTTGCTATTATTTCGTATATATCTCTGTAACGAAAATACTTACAGTAAAACTAAACATACTGTTTTATAGAACTTTTTGATGCCTATCTTTTGGTATGTAACTTTTTATTGGAAGTACTATACTTAAGGCTGTAGAGCCTGAAAATAGGCAAAATCTGACACTGAATTTTTGGGAAGGGTATTTGAAATTTTACTAAAACTAGTCTATCTCGCTTAGTTTTACACCGATTTCGATAGTTTTTTCAGCAATAGTTAGTTTAAAACTACAGTTATCATTAAAAAGTAATAAAAATAAAATGGCGACTTAATAAGTTAATTTAATTAATGTTTTTAACCTTATTTTCCTATATTTTACTATCAATTTTTAACTTACTTAACTTTTTTCTTGACACAAATATAGTTTTAGACCTTGGCTTTATGATAGAAGTCAAAAATTTTTGAAAAAAGTAGTATAATTAACTTTTTTTGGTCATTTTGTAAAATTGCCTTTAAATGGCAATTGAATAGATATTCTTTTAATTTTATGATGTAAAATGATAATTATACATCAAATATGCTTAGTTTTAGCAAAATATATCATAATATGATGTTATAGAACAAGAAAAAAGCAAAAACTTTAAAAACTTTAAACAAAAATTTTCAACCGTTTTTGAAAATTTAAATTTTTGACTTGATTAAAGAGTTGTAAAATAAACTTTTGGTTAAATTAACTAAATTAGAAGGCTTTATTGCAGTAAATTCTTGCAGGAAAGTTGTAATTTATCATTAATTAATGCTTTTTGAGGGACAATAATGAAAATTTCATTAAATTTATATGTAAAATCAATTTTGGTTAATTTAACTAATTTTGTGTATTAATTTGAAAATGTGTGTAGGATAAATGAAAGAAAATAAGATTCTCAACAACTTTTATGAACATATCAGCTCTTTTTACAGCTTCCTTCTTGGATAAAAATCACTTTGAATGTTTGATTTAGAAATTAAACTAACTTATAAAGTCGCCATTTTAAAATTATTGGGTTAAAAATTCAGTTTTTATATTTGGCTATAAGCCACTGAAAGAATTGTGACGATTGAATAACTAAACTCTGAGTGAATCAACTTTCAATATTTGTTCACTTTTTTCGCGGTCTTGCCCTAGAAAATTCAAATTTTTGACGTTTAAAAACTGCGATATTTTTGTATGAGCACATCTATATATCTTGCTCATTACCTTACTAAACTTTTTTGAAGTCCTGTGATTGACGTTTATTAATCTTTAATTGCAAGCATTCATTCATAATTTATGTTCAATCATGCACATTTGCGAGATTTCCAATCATCGTCAGATACAGCACAAGCTACGATGATGAAATTTCTACGTAATTAATTTTTGATTCCGGATTAAATTAATTTTTTTATGAAATAAATCAATGAAGTTGTTTCATTTTGTGAAAATTTTATTGGCCATTAATGGCAATTGGCATTATGGATTTATAGAAAGAAAGAAAATCTGCTGAATGGAGGTCTTGTAAGACTTTGTTCTAATCTGCTAAATACCGTTTTGTATTTAACCCGAGCAGGAAATGCTGAGAAATTAGAAAAGTTATATGTGAACTCAAAGCAGATGAGCAAGCTCACACTAAGTCTTTTGCAGCTCGGGCATAGCAAATGAAAATGAAACAAATGAAAGATTTACATAGAAAAAAATTGTTTTAATTGATAAATGCATGAAAAATTCCGCATTTCAAAAATTAAATCCCATGAAATTGTACATTTACATCGGTTAGGTATTCGAGAATGAAGGAATGAGAAAAACTTTTTCTTACATTTTTCTTTTCTTGTTGAATTTTTCCATTCGAAATTGAAAGAATTTCATGCAGATTTATTTTTTACGGATTTTAAAAAATCTATGAGGTGATTGAACTCTATAAAAAGTTTTGTATTTAAGTTACGACAGAAAATCTACTTAAAAAATGAGGAAAATTGACTTTAAGTTTCAAGTGAATAATTCTTGTAGAATTCACATTCTTACTCTATAAATCTTTCAAGCTTCATATTACATAGGATGACGATGAACAGAAAAAAAAATTATTTCTGGAACGGAATTTTGTAAAAAAATTGTACAGAAAAAAGTATTTCAATGTCTTTGCATTAAGTGAGAAATGAATTGATGCAGAACATTAATTACTATGCGACTTTCTGCTTCAAAATAATTCAAGGATGCAGATGATTAAGACTCTAAAATTTTAGAAATGTGTAACGCAAATCAGTCATACCAAAAGATGCGAAATGTTTGCGTCCTTATTGAAAAGAAGCAAACTTTCCTGCATCTATTAATCAAATTTGAAAATCATTAATCCAAAAATCGTTTTAAATGCGCGTCAGCTACAATTTAATTATAGGAATTTCCAACCAAAGCCTCATTCCTTACTTCATTTTCTCGAAATTCAATACATTCTTATTCCATTTCTCGCATAAACATTTCTTACATTAAACAAAAGACACGTAAAGAACTTTCTACAGTCTTTTTTTTTGCTATTATTTTTTTCCCGATGACTCATAGCATTCAAACATCTCAATCCAATCCATTCGTATGTCCGTATATTCACAACTGAGCTCAACTGACAATGAAAATTTCTTCTTTCCATTTTTGTTTTGTTTACTGATCGGATTTGCACGCGCGTTTGTATAATGGATACGATACCAATAATATTATTTTGTTCTCTGATTTCAAATGTATCAATCCATTGTAAGCTAATGATGAATTGCGGCATAAATCGAGAGAAATTTTTGCTTTGTTTGAATTCGTTTGATACAAAATTCATTGAAATTTTTTCTTTATTTATTTACTTACAGCGTGAAACATTTTGAGGCAAAAGTGCATCACTTAAGGACCAAAACGTTTACCCGGATATTAAAAGCAACAACAACCACGAAAACTAAAAATTTAAAAGAGGGAAAAATGCAATGTGGTGTTGAGACAATGAATGATTGCGAGAGATCCCCAGGACGTACAGGACTAAGAGTCAATTTCACAGAAAAGGGAGAAGTAAAGGAGCGCCGCGAGAAGTTCCTTACTGCTAAATATGGAACACACCAAATGAGTCTCATCAGAAAGAGATTAGCTGTTGAGATGTGGCTTTATGATGAATTACAGAAACTTTTTGATCCACCAGTGAGTATTTTTATAGGTTCTTAGCTAGCTTAGCAGGAGATAAGGAAGTCAGCATCATCATCAACTTTTAATTCTTCAGAAAATTCAAAATTTACAAAAAAAATAAACCCTTGATATTAACACATTTAATTCCCCATCAGCAGCACCCATTATATCTATAAATCTTCATATCAACAGAAATACGCGAGCATGTACATAATTCAATTTACATTCTGTCATATGATACAATGTTCAATATCATTGGAATAATTAGATTTATTAACAGTCAATTCTATTCTGAATTGATGCCATGATAGCATGTCGTTGTTCTGGGAAGTATTAACATTATATTCTCGATGCAGCAAATATTTTTGTGCCGCATATTAACATTCATTTAAAAGAATGATGGGAAGAAGAAGAGAAAAATCGATATGGGTGATTGGAGGAAGTTAAGAGATGTAGAATGTGGGATGTCGAAACATTAGAAGCATTTTTAAGAATTCAAGTCTTCATGTTTTGAGCCCAAATTACTCAAATCCTTCAAAACTTTCTGAACCACCATTGTAGCTAGTTTGAAACCCAAAAGCACAAAAGAACAAAACAAAAGCCCCCAATCTTTCAACTTCTTCTATTGGCAGTTCCAAAAAGACTCTGGGTAATTTATTTTCGGTTCAATGAAAACATTTTTGATCATGACACATAAAAAAACCATAAATTATGAACTTATGTACGGCTCTAATGATACAAAAGAGGATGATGATGAACGCTAAGCCTTCCTTTTCTTCATTTCATTTTCCGTTTCAACAGAATCTTTATTTTATTATTCTCTTTATTTATTTCCAGAATGAAGCTGTGGATGTCGATATCGATGAAATTTTAGACATGGATACAGATGATATCAGACGGTCACATTTATTTGTAAGCACTTTTTTTTTATTTGATTCTTTCTCAGAAAAAAACATTAAATGTCTTCAAAATATCACGTGTACTTGAAATACCAGTCGTAGGCGAGGACTACATGCTCATTGAACTTTAAATGCTGCAACCTTTAATGATGTTTTGTATTGTTGACGGAGATTACGATTGAAATTCTCTGTGGCAAATGAATCATAACTTTTAAATGCTGTATTGAGGAATTCAATTAGATGGAAATGAACATTTTGAGAATAATCGAAATATTCAGAATCGGATGTTATAGAAATATCCTTGAGTCCTGATTCCTGCATCACCTGAGAATTACTCAGCCTTACACGTGCAGCATTCATACAACATAATCCCTTAACGAAAATGAGCAATGATTCAAACTTATAACTAGTAATGCTTACTAAATGTTATGAAAAATTTATGTTGTGTATCCTCAAGAGACAATGACGTACGAAAAAAGCAGTCAGCAGCAAGATATATTGTTTTATTTTTGAGAAAAATCTTTTGTTACTTAAATGGTGGTATATCAGCCACTATATGACAGCCATGAGATTTTATATCTCTTGAGTCTCCAATAGCCTTATGAAGCTGTAAATTCCTCATCATTTTTCATAGACAAATAGAATGATCTGTGTCTATTGAGACAAATAGTCGAATGTTTTGTTAACAAGTCATCTTCATGACTGACTTCTTAAATTTCAAAAGATGTATTAGAAGTTCAACCAAAACAGACACTCAAACTTTTACAATCGATAAGACTGAATAAATATTGCAAACCACAATGGTTCAAATTTCAAAGCATTTTGTTTGTGTAGTCTGAAAAGTTTGGTTTATAATTGTCTCGTGTAAACTGATATCTATGAAATTCACCTGCTGTCCTTGATGTGTTTTAGTCAGATTTGGTTCATCACGGCTTATAACGGAAAATTTGAAAAAAAAAAGTTTTCCACTTCAAGACTTTGTCTTGAAAATTTAGGCTGAATAAACTGTTAATGAGTAGTTTCAATACTTTAGGGCTACTTTACAGGTATGAGCACATGATTTATTAATAATTTCCATTCCGGAATCATTCTTGTTCATTTAAAATTCGTCAAATCTTTAATTCATATCTTTTGGAATCAAAATCTTTTAATAGAGCGGGAAAAATTTAAATTTCCAAAAAATAACGTTCTTTTTAAGTTTTCACATTTTCTTCCAAAATCAACCCCAACCAAAGCCAAAAGTATTTCACAAGAAAAACTTATTTAAATAAACACTTGACAACCTCCAAGATGTTAATTCAACACCTTCTGTCATTGAGATTCAAGAAGCTTCTTACTCTTTAACTTTATGAACTTCAAGTTTTCACATAATTAAACGCAATACTCGACAATTCATAAAGTTCTCTCATATACTATACGATGAGTATGAATAAAACATGATGATGATGATGCCAAAAATTACGAGATGAATAAATAAAGTAATGTGCACGTTGTGACATTAATGGTTAGCTGGAAATTTTCTAGGGATGTATATTTATGTTATGACTTAATGTCTAAGGCAGGAAGCCTCGAAAATGTCAATTTTTCTTGACATTCGTGATTGCTTGGGAAGGAAGAACTTGTAGGTTTAATGTCAGGTGAATTATTGATCCACAAATGCCATTGCTGATTATATTAAGCATCAAAACATGAATCTCGAAGGAAAACAAGATACGGAGCATTACAACCCGCCTACGAAATTTTCTCGTACTCGATATCTTCATTACAAATATATATTATCCACGTGCTTACAACATCACCTTAATATACTTTATACTCTCATTATTTCTTCCTCACAGAGTCTTATATCAAATTCAAGCTGCAAGCGTTCCGAAAAGGACATTTCGGTAAGTAAATTAGTCAAACGTCAACTTAATAGCTGCTCATTAATAATTTTGTTCATCTCTTCCAGAAATTTATCACCGATCTTCTGGATCGTGCAAAAACGCTTTGAGCTGATGTAGAAATTGATGTTTAAGAAGAAAAAGCAGTAAAAAGAAATCAGGCGCCATCAGTCTCTCTTTAAACAGCACTTTGAATCTTCTTTAACAAATTTCTTTCATATTTTTTGAATTTTTGTACTATTTTATTTACTCGAGTTTACAAAATTTTAACTGGATGTTCTCGATGCGTTGGATTTGGTGTTGTTGGGGATTCTCGAGATTAGATTTTTTTGCGGGACGTTAAACTTAACTTGATTTTGAAAACTTTCTGGATCTTGTCAAAATATTATGGTCTGTTGACCATAAAATGACCACAAAATATGAAAATCATAAAATTCTATCAAAGTTCCTCAAAAACCACAAAATCCAGCACACAGAATTTGCCAAAATTGGATTCTATTTTTATTGATAAAAATGTGTAAAAAGATTTTCCACAAAAATGTTTGGAAAATCTTAGAAAAAAAAAAGTTTTTTAAGTTTAGTTTTTCAGTTTTAAGTTTAAGGACAAAAAAAAATTTTGTAGTTAATGAAAATTAAAATTAATTTAAGACGTAATTGCATTTTTGTATAAGAATCAAGAAAAATAAGAAAAAAAATCATATTTAAATATTTTTTTGTTACAAATGAAGCTAATTTGAGTAAGAAATAAGATATACGTATAATTGGGTTTTTATTCTGACTTTTATTGGGGTTTGGAGGATGATAAGCAGGTCTTTAATGATTATTTGCATCTAAGATCCCAAATTTAACACATTTCAACCCCTTCAAACCACCAATTAGCTCTAAAACTTTCCTTTTTTTCTATTCCTATATCTATAATAGTAAGCCACTTACTTTAAGCCCAAAACAGCATACATATACAGATAAATGTTGATAAAGAAGAATTATGATGATAATTACACACATGTTCGTAGATTCGTAGAAATTCAAATTTATGACTTTAATAAACCTATTGTGCAGTATGGTTCGTTGTCTTATCAATTGCTCATTATACCTGTCTATCCCTCAAAATAGAAAATGTTAAACACATTTTATTTCCCAGGCATAAGAGGCCTCATCATAAAATATCGATTGAGCAGGACATATTAGAATAAAGGAACAAGAAAGCTTTTTTTTGGTATATAAATAATTGCACCAGCTGATGACTACATTGTCAATATTTAAGGCTGTTGAAGCTAGATTTGAATGAACGGGGAAGGAGATTATTAAAATAATCGAATAACCGACAGTTTGAATTCAAATCAATTGCAAAAATTTAAATTTTCAAAAATCAAAAACCCGTTAAATTGAAAATCAAAAACCCGTTAAGTTTCAAAATCAAAATGCCATTAAGTTCAATAAGACAGAAAGGTTCTTGCACAATATTAATCCAATAAAATTTCCATTAAAGCATAAGATGAACTATTGGGAACAAAGCCAAAAGAGAAACTGCCAAATTTAGTGAAAACTGTGAATGTCAAGATCTCAATTTCAAATGGAAAATGAAATGTGTGAGAGGCGAGGGAAAGAATGAGGAAAATTCATGTGAAAAATTCGTCAAAGGAGCTTTAAATAATTTTTTTAGTGCTTGAAGAATAAAAGCAAAATTCCCAATGAGAAGCATATTTTTTCTTCTTCCATGCTTGCCTCAATTGCTGCTGGTTAGATTACAATAAAGAATGAGGAAAATACTTCTGATTTCTTCTTTTTACAATGTGAAGCTATGAGTGAGAGAAAAAAAACTTTTTAAACATCCAATTTTTTTCGTGTGAATAGCAATCTTGCCTTTTGCTCTAGTTCCTTCAAACTGCCGTAAAAGAATTTTTTATGATATTTTTATTCACGAAGATTTTCATTCATAACATTTTTTTATTCTATTGAAGACATGTCACATACTGGTTGTAACTTTATGTCACTCGGGTCTAGAAATCGTATGCAAAAAGGCAGTGAACTTAAATTGCTACCATTTTAATGATAATCAATGATAGAGAATCGAGGACAGTACTGTAACCTTAATAATCTCAAGCTATTTCCATAATTTTTCGCAAAAATTACCACAAAAAAAAATCCATTTCCTCATTCCATCAAACCAGCAATAAAACCTGACTTGCCATAATTTCATCGATTTACAAAATGCTTTTCTTTCTTACTGTCCCGCCCTTCCTTTTTCTTAATTGATGAATGTTCCGAAGACGTAATAATGAAATTAACGATCTTATTGCCCATTGTCGATTCTTCCTCCGTCGTCATTCGTGTGTATTATTCATCATAAATCTAATAAAATGATGTCTAAATAGAAGAAAAATGATCTTTTTATATAAAAAATTAATGAAGAAGCATTTTGTGGATTCTTTCATCTCATTAAATGGATGGAAAGTCAAACTACTAAAAATTGATTGTCGATATAAAAAGTAAATAAAAATTTTAAATTGAGAAGGGAAATTAGAAATGAGATGGATGTACTTTTGTGGAGCTAGCCTGATTTTTTTTTGGAATTTTGTATTTCTTCGAATTTCATGTACATAAGGCGCATTGGATGTTATAATTCATACCTATAATGCGCGCATTTGAAAATTTATTACACAATACGCACGTATAAATATTAAGTGCATAATGCGCGTATTCAATTTTTTGAATAATGCGCCTTTATTGAAATTATTTTCATAGTGCGAATTACTTTCAATGTGCGCGTTTAAAATCATGTTCATAGTGCGCACCTAATTCTTAAATTCGTCTTCAAATTCCAATAAAATATCCAGGAGACTCCACAAAAGTCATGAGAAACGTACATTTTAAACAAATAGATTCGTAGTGAAACTGAATGAACTAATACAGTGGGGGAAATAATTATAAACGAGTTGGTATTTTCAAAATTCTCGAAAATATAAACAGTTTCAAAAAATATGTTCTATGTGAAAGTTATGCAGTTTTTAATGAGAAATAAAACGGTAAAAAAATTTTTTAATTATATTAACCAGGAAAAAAATAACGGTCATTTTTTGAAAAATATGCCTTTCGCAAGAGGAAATAATTATAAACGAATTTGGAAAAAATTAAAAAAAATAATTTTAGACTTGAAATTCACAAGAGTTTTCAATTGATTTAGGTATTTTAAGATTATATGGATTTAATTTGACATAATACGCACAATAATTAATGGTTTAAATACATAAAATTTATTCACAAAATTGGCAAGGAATGAGATGGAAAAAATCAATGTTTTATGATAATCTAGACATAATAACTCCTCAATTGCATATGAAAACGATAGATTTTATTGCAATTAACGGAAAACAACAAAGAATTTGTAAAAATATAGCCAGAATAAGTAAAAATGAAGAAAAATTTGAATGACTCAGCCAATATAAAATGAAAAATTTTTAAAAAATTCTATCAAACAGATGTTAAGACCACAAATTAAGGACGATTCCTTCTTTATTTTATCATATTTACGATTTAAATAAGATATTAGAATGATTAATCAAGAAATATTTGCAAAAAAAATGTGAATAAATAATAAGCGCGTGACTTTGAAATATTCAACCAATGCAAGTTTTAAATTTTTGCTAAAATGATCCTATTACTACCCAAAACTATCAGTTCTTTCACAATTTATCTTATTGTATTCATTGCATGTCTGTTTGTAGCGTTTACTTCTGGTTCCTATAACTTTTTTAACAAAGTATAGTTTTGCAACTTCATGTGTTGCTTTTGATTAAAGTTTTTACAATTTTTTGCAAATATTTCTTGTTTAATCATTCTAATATCTTATTTAAATCGTAAATATGATAAAATAAAGAAGGAATCGTCCTTAATTTGTGGTCTTAACTTCTGTTTGATAGAATTTTTTAAAAATTTTTCATTTTATATTGGCTGAGTCATTCAAATTTTTCTTCATTTTTACTTATTCTGGCTATATTTTTACAAATTCTTTGTTGTTTTCCGTTAATTGCAATAAAATCTATCGTTTTCATATGCAATTGAGGAGTTATTATGTCTAGATTATCATAAAACATTGATTTTTTCCATCTCATTCCTTGCCAATTTTGTGAATAAATTTTATGTATTTAAACCATTAATTATTGTGCGTATTATGTCAAATTAAATCCATATAATCTTAAAATACCTAAATCAATTGAAAACTCTTGTGAATTTCAAGTCTAAAATTATTTTTTTTAATTTTTTCCAAATTCGTTTATAATTATTTCCTCTTGCGAAAGGCATATTTTTCAAAAAATGACCGTTATTTTTTTCCTTGTTAATATAATTAAAAAATTTTTTTACCGTTTTATTTCTCATTAAAAACTGCATAACTTTCACATAGAACATATTTTTTGAAACTGTTTATATTTTCGAGAATTTTGAAAATACCAACTCGTTTATAATTATTTCCCCCACTGTAGTAAAGAAAATCAATTTTAATCGAGACTAATCACCTTTAAGAAAGAAGAAAAAAAAATTTTAGGCAAATATTCGCTCACTTTTATACACGCCAAACATAGATTGAAATAAAATAAAGTAATAAAATTTTTGCAGACACAAGAAAAATAAATAAAAGCATTTGATACGTCGTCATTGGTTCGTTGAACCTTCAAATATATACAAATAAAATAATATAAATAGTAAGAGAAATTCTTTTTGTAGGAAACACTTAGCAAAGCATCTCGAGAAAGAAATAAGAAAAAAATTTAAAACCCTTTTGTAACAAGAAGAAAGGTGAAATTGAAATTGTGGACAAGAAGATTTTCTCTAAGTGGACTTAAAGTATTCTTTGAAAAAATTACATTAAGTGCTTTTGGACGATATCAGCTCTTTATTTAGATAATTTATGATGAATTGCACAACGAGTTATTTATTTGCTTTTCCAAGAATATTTGTAGTCTACTGAAAATCTGGGAATTTATAAATAGATCAATGATTTTTACGCATTTTCCCAAGTTTTTGTGATTCATTGTTGTGAATTTCTGATGGAAAAGTACTTAGAAAACTAATTTATCATGAAATTTGGCTTAAAACTATGAATCAATTGTAAAGTTGATGTCTTTGAGGTCAAAAGTAGTTTCTATTGATCTTTTGCCACTTTTTTGTTCGTGATAAGTGCAATTAAAGAATCAAACAATTGTTCAATTAAGATTTACAAAAGAAAAACTTTTCGAATTGAGAGATTTTTAATGAACGCAATTTTTAAGTCACTGAACAGATTCTTAATCTTTTAAATGCTTTAACAACATAAATCACTGAAAAATTGGAGAAAAGCATAAGAATTATTGAAGGAATATCGCAACTTTTTTTTTTTTGATAATGTGCAGCAACTGTACTTGAACTTTAAAGAATAGAAATCATTAATAGAAAAATTTATACCAAAAAATCATTACAACGCATTTTTACAAAATATGATGATAATGAAAATTGCCCTTAATAGACGTAATGCCCTGAAAAAAAGATATTCGAATAATATTAGAGATAAAAAATTATTTGTGTAGGAGTAGTCGGTGAAAATGGAACCATGTTTATATCGCAACCATGAAGACATTATCTGATCAAATTAGCTATTCATTGTCATCGAGTGTCATTTTACAAGATGAGGTTTATGGTGATTATGAATTGCTTAATTTCGGTAGTCACGAATCATATTTATTTCTTCACAAATGAAGAAGATTTTATTGCTCACAATTTTTAAAGTAGTAGAAAATATGGAAATTTTTCATCGTCACTAAATTAAATTTTTTAAAAAAATATATTTTATGCAAAATCATCGTTTATTAAATAGGAAAAGAGCAAAATCATCATCGTTCCTAGTTATAATTTCAATTTACTTGAGGGGAAGCTTTCATTTCCAACTTCATACATGCTAGTCGAGCATATAGTTGAAGCTCGATTGTTGGGAAAATAAATAATAAGAAGCTTAATTTCCCTACTTTCATGCAGCTTTAATAGTAATGAGTTTTACTTTAATGGGTAGATTTGCGGTTTTGGTTGACATTAAGGTTATATCTTCGATCAAAAATGTGAAATTTCATAAAACAGCAGGACTAAGAGAAACTCAACTTGTGTTTAATCAATTCTTGCCACTTTTTTCTACAAGATCTAAATAGAAAGAGAGGTATTCGGATTCTTATGTAAAAATTGTCACAATAAAACTTTTTGAAGTGAGCATCTTTTTACTGAACACACTTTTTTGTTCGCTGAACAAATCTTAAAGACAAATAACCATAAAAATTACATAAATTAGAACCAAAAACGCTAGACTATAATTCTACGAGTTGCATAAAAATATTTTCCAAGAAAATAAATTTTCCACTCATACGGAATTAAAAAACTATTGCGGATAAAACGGAAACAACTGAAACTGCATGAAAAAAATTAGATCGATCGTAAATCATCATAAAATTGCACACTATAAAATAATCATTTAAATTCTGCACCATTTCTTGAGCTTCCTTTCTTATTTTTCATGTACGTAGTAGCTACAAGCCAATCATTTTCATAAATATGAGGTTCGATTCTTTAATGACATTAGTAAGGTTTTTTCGAATTGTCAAAATCAGCAGTAGTGTTGACAAAATGAACGAAATTCTTTAGTTATCGTAATATCAAAATCACATGGATGTATTTATCTATCTCTTATCTATCCCTTATATTCATTCATAACAAAATAATTTCTAGCTTTAATAAAAAAATATCAAATGCAAAACGTAAGAAACTAATGGGAAAACTTTTGACTGATTTAAAATTTGTAACGGAAATTTTATATTTGAATGTATTGTTAATTCCAAAACATTTGTATGGTTTTCACAAAATTCAAATAATTTCCGTTAGAAATTTCGATCACGTGTCATCGTTTAAATAAATCTCAAAGATAAAAGATAATATCAAACCCAATTTTTAATTTAATTTCGAAAGATAATGAAACATACAGAAGTAAATGTCAAGAAATAATTGATTTAAATTTAATTAATTAATAATTATGATATCTTAATTGTAATGTTTATGTTTTAAGGATAAATGAGATAAAAATAAAGGATTTAATGTAAATATTTCCCAAAATACTATACTGGTCTAGATCATTTCTTGACTTACATGCTTTTATTCCAGATTTTTTTTTTTTGCTCCATCTGTGCCCTCATCTGTGCTCCATCAGTTATTTTAATTTTTAAAATCCACAAAATACAAGGGGGCTAACAACATAAAGAAAAAACTTTTTCATTCCCCTTGGTTTTTAAATTAATTTTATTCGTTATTCCTCGAATTTATCATACCCAAATAAAGAAATTGTTTTACATAATTTAATTCAATTAAATTAATGATGAATGTTATTTTCAATTGGTTCGTGGCTATTTGATGCTAAGAGATCTTCACAAACGTTCTGTAATGCACTTTTGTACTCGACTATTTCTAGAGCTTCCCATTCATTCTTAAATGCTTGTTTTGGATCTTGTGGCATTTGTCCAGCTGCATTGAGAGACATCTGATCTTGCATCGATTGTGTTTGGTCAGCAGCTACATAGATTATCAAATGTCAGTAACGTTCAGACTATGAGGAACTAGCAGTACTTACCATTATTTTCTCCTAAAACTAGTGTATAAATGTTTCTTAAACCGAAAACATTAAGGAAATACCATGAAGCTGATGATACCCATGATGCATCTAAAGATTGAAGCTCAACTCCACGTTGAAGCATAGGCTTAAAGCGGAAAGTAAGTGGAAATGGAACTTTTGTTGTGACGAATCCAGAGAACATCCAGTTAATCCATCCTCCAATAACGACCATAGGTAATACATTTATGAAATTTCCCTTGACTAGATCTGTCAACATAGCTGATGAATTTGGAGTTGCTGGTGGACGTTTTTGAGTTTTAAAATATCCAGATTCCTCATTATTAAAAAAGTGTTTTCTCATTGCAAATGCCTGTGGAGTTAAATATTTGCCATTTTCTCTCAATAGACGTGCTCGAATCATCGCTTGACTAAAAAATAAAGTCAAATTATTTGTCGTTATAGTCTAATTAATGAACAATTATTTACCTATCTTGTAATTGTGTCATTTCAACTTTTTTCGATGAAGAAATCAAGATTGATACATAATGTCTGATGATTCCAACCAAGAAAGTGATAACCACGATTGGTAAAAACACCCATCCACGTATTTTAGGATCAATTAATAGCTCAGCCATGTCTTAATTTAATTAAATCTAATTTTTCTGATTATTTTTCTGTGATAAAAATGAAAGAATGAAGAAAGTCCGTGCGAAAATGAGATTATATTGTAAAATTTGTCAATGAACTTTTCTACATTATTAAGAACTTGTCATTGTAATTATTTAAGCAGACGCTTAATTATGCTAAAAACGAATAACTTTCATTGATAAAATGAAGAATCAATGTGAAAAATCTATAACAATACAGTAAATACAATGGATTAGCCAAGCCTTGGAAAATTGAATTTTTCACGAATTTTCCGAGGAAACAAAAAAACAATTTTAATAAATCCGAGCTTAAAATGATAATTTAGTCAAATTAGACTATTGAAACGAGTTAAAAACGTACAAAATAGACAGTTCCAGTTGATTCCGTTAAAAATTATACGAGAACATCCAGCATGAGAGAAAAACTGTTAATTTTGTTATCTTTGACCATTATTGCCATAAATAGGGTATCAAGTGCACACGATACAAGCTTTAAAATTGAATCAGTTGAACAAATTCACATCCATGAGCTTTTTACGTTAATGATTAAGCCAACATTATTTAATTTTTCAAACTCACTGTCCAATGAACAAATTCGGTAATAAATCATTCATAATTCCTATTGATTTTTCACTGACATAAAGAATTTTTTTCTCCTCTTTCTAGATATCGACCATCTCTTCTAGGTCGACCATCTCTGCCAAGCTGGATGAATTTCCAATTTTCTAAGGAACGGAATCTCGGCTATCTTTATGGATCAGCGACTGAAAAGTATGCAAATCGTGAAATTAAAATAGAAATTATTGCACTTAATAAGCTTACGTATGAGACTCAGCGAGTAGTCATTCCATTTCGTATATCCTTTAAACCAGCACCAATGAATAGAATTGAAATGAAAATAACGAATTATAATTGGGAGCACATGACAGACATGGGACGTGTGAAGAATTTAAAAGGAATCTTTATGGAGTTATGGCCTGAAAGTTATAGAGATTTGAGTATTGTCTTTATGGAATCAGCTGTAAGACTTGGTGCTCGATTACCTTTAAAACCATCAAATAGGGAAGGAGTGATTGTCCATTTAGGCAGTAATGCACAACTATCAAGTCGTTTAATTGAACTTGATCAGGAAATTAAACCTTTGTCAAAACTGTCAACTTGCACGTTTAAAAGAACTAAGGTCCAACAGATCTTTCAAAGTGCAGGTTTTATGATCGATTGGTGTGCATTTAAAATTATTACACAAGATGAGACATCCACAATGTCTGAAGAATCAACTGTGCAACATGAATCAAGCATGTTGACTAGCAAAACATGGAATGGAATTGCAAAAGATGAACTTCCTGCCAGGAATTATAGCGAGGAACTTGCTGTCTCAATTGCTATTCCAGCTGTCATTTTCTCATTCGTTGTTGCTTTATTGACAATCATCTTATGTTTCCATCACGAGAAATTGTGAGTTTATCCTGGTTTATGCTTTAATCGATGTTTTATGTTGTAAACTTTATCATTTGACACGACATCTAGACATGATGAAGAATCTGTTAGATATTTTCGAGACTTGTTTGAAATTTGTTCTCGATGTGCTCCAGCTAAAAAGGCATCAAGGTTTGGATATGAGAATTAATATAGAATAGCCGTTTAATTGAATATTATTTAATATTTTAACGGTTTTTTAAATTTTGAAACTTTAACGGCAATTTTGAATTCAAACGGAAAACCTTACAAATGTTTTATTATTATTTTAAGAAAACATTTGAATGGTTTTCAACGATTTTTTGTGATTTCTGCTTTAAATTTTGAATTATTTTAAAAAATATAATTAAAAGTCTGTTTCAAATACTTGTAGTGAACAACCGAAATCTAAAGAACCTGTTCAAATGGTGCAATATTCAGGAACAAATAAAACACCACCCACAACAACATTAAAAAGTCTTCATGATCCATATTCTGACAATTTGAGTCTTGACTCGGACAGGTAATAAATTTTGAATTTTATAAATTGCCCAAATTTGAATTTCAAAAAGCCGTTAAAATTTCAAAAATCGATAAAGTGTTAACCAAGATTTAATAATTCTTTCAGCCCATCAACAAACATTTTTCAAGAAGGAAGCCCAAAACTCAATGCATATTACAGGCCAAATCCGCCAGCTTATACAGGTAAAATCACATTTCAAGGACCATCAACATCAACAGTTCGCTTTGACAAGGATATTTGACAAAGTGTTCAACATCCACAACCGAGAATTCTTTACTGTTGAAGAGTCTACAGAAAATTAATTAATTAAACTATCAATTCAATTGACATATCTCAAAACATTTACTCTACATAACTTCGACCATCGACTTTAAGATGTCTTTTTACAAAAAAATAAATTAGAAATGAATTATTAAGTATGACTATTAATTGATGTTAAGAATATGCAAAAAAAAAATAAATTAATTAAACTAACCACATTGACGAGACATGGATAAATTGTAGAATAGCTTTAAAGTGACTTATCACATCACATCTTATAATCAAATTGATATTATAATTATTTATAGTCCGATTAACTTTAATAAGGAAATATTTAAATCCATAGCTGAATGTTTAAAATGCAGCAGCACAATCGTTAAATAAATAGATGAAATGTTTTATTGCACCTTATTATAATTAATCAATTAACTGCACTTTGTCTCACAAATAAACTCATATCATTTTTTGAAGATTAATACTTTTTTAATCATTTAAAATTTCCAGGATTGAGTTTTCAACGGAAAATTTTAATTTGAATTTTTAAAGCTGTTGTATGGTTTTGGAATTCAAAATAAACCGTTAATAATCTTCTAATAGCTTCTAGTGACTACCTGAATCCAGTATAAAAATAAAATGTCTTAATTAAATATTTTGAATACTTAAGCAAGTAAACAACTTCATATCTCCTTCCAAAACGTAACTAGCAGATCAAATAAGCAGTTGACTATGAAATTTTATCTGAATATGAAAAGGTGAAAAATTAAACATCCAGTACATATCCATAAATCAAGTGATATTTGGCACCGTCACCAAACATCACGTTTGTATCATTAGGGATATCCAATTTAATCACATAGTAAACAGCTGTTTAAATATTTTCATGCCATAAATGTGTAGGTGCGTCACAAGTTGTATATAGCATGATAACATCTCAAAGGATGCTCAGTGTGATAAAATTCGTTGAAGATGTCAGTCGCTGTGGAAGTAACAAATAATGATATTCAAAATATTGTTGGAAAATTACCAAAATCATTCGGTGGAGTTAATAGATTTGAAGTAGTTCCGTTGAGTGACAGCCTCGTTGGATTTTGGGGCGATCATTTCATCCTTAAAGTTTATAATGATCAACTCGTCAAGCATGACTTCTTTCTTAAAGCTGTTCCTCGTCATATTGAGAGTCGATTGGAAATAATTCAAGAAACTGGATTTTTTGAACGGGAAATGAAAATTTACGAACATTTCATTCCTGGACTTCAAGTGCTGTCGTCAATTTCTTGGTCACCAAAGATTTATCTAGCAAAGGAAGATTATTTCATCGTTTTAGAGAACTTAAGGGATTATCATCTATATCCATCAATCATAAATGTCTGGGATTATGATCATTTTGTTGTAGCCACAAAGACTTTGGCTGTTTTTCATGCATCAACTGTGATTTATGAAGAAAAGTTTGAACCAATGAGTGACGATGAATTGAAATTATTAGAGGAAGTTGCATATCCACAAAAGGAAGGTCACATAAGGTACAGAGGAGTACAAACTGCAATAGCAACTTTACAAAAATTAATTAAACTCATTCCAAAGTATCAAAACTCACCAAAACTTGCCGACATCCTTAAAGCATTTCCAGAAGTTGTGAGAAAAATTTTTAAATTTGTCGAATCATCGAAAAAATTCAGAAATGTTTTGTTGCACGGAGACATCTGGGTAAACAATGTCATGTTTAAGTACGAGAATAGTAAACCAGTCGAAGCTAAGTATATTGACTTCCAATTTGCTAGATACGCGCCTCCAGCTATGGATCTTGTTACATTCTTCTATGCATCATCAACTGTAAAATTTCGCGAAAAACACTTGAAGGACCTGCTTGATATTTATTGCAAAACAATCGAAAATGAACTTAAAATCCACAATATACCAACTTCAGCTCTTCCACGTGACGAGATTTTGAAAAGTTTCAACGAATATAAAATTGCTGGATTAATTGAGGCTGCATTATTTAATCATACGACTTTACTTCCATCTGATGTAGCAACAGACATGATGAATTCGTCTGAGGAATACGAGAAATTCTTTCAAGAGTGCCGCAAAGCTAAATGTGTTAAAGCATTTGAAGAATCTCATTATAGTGACCGAATGACTGAAATTCTAAGCGAATTAATCGATGACTTTATAGTTCCTTATTTATAAATTTTTGATTCTTCGAATTTATTCAATCTTTTTGTAAAAATTATCAATAATTAATGATTAATAAAAAATCATTCTAATATACACGTGCTGTGTTAGCCTTTGGCGTATATCATTCATAGGTTTATCAAAAATTATCATTAACAATTTTCAGGAAAAGATTCAATAAATATTGATGTAGTTTTATTGTGCAATTTAAAGATTTAAAAATCATAACGGTTTTTTAAAATTTAAGTTATGCTTCGTTCAGTTTTTTCGTTAAGATAATTAAATTTTGAAAATTCGTTATTTTTTGAAATTCAGAACAACCGTTAAATTATCAGCTTCAAAACCACATCAATTAACACCATTAAAAAACAATAAAAAATATTTATACCTCAATAATTTCAACATTTTCTAAAATAGTTTTCTTATTGCCACTTACAACTCGTCCAACAATCCAACATTCGTCACCGGACATTTCCAAGAAATCTTTGCAATAATTTTCTGCATTTTCTGAGGGCAAAGCTATAAGCAGTCCACCAGATGTTTCGACCATCCTTCCATTCATCATTTTCTGCTCTCTATTAAGGACTTCTGACATTTTCTTGACATGTTTAATCAGTGGCATGTGCGTTAAGACAAAATCAACGTCATTTTCTTGAAAAAGCAAGAGATTTTCACAATGTCCAACAATTCCAAATCCAGTGACGTCTGTACAGCAATGAGCTTTGTATTTTTGCATTAATTTAGCACCAAGATAATTTAACGTCGACATTGATTTGATTGCTTTTTGATATGCTTCATCGATGTCCTCTGGACTTAAATGCTGGCTCAACTTCTTCCAGTTTTCATTATCTTCAGCCATCCAAATTGGAGCATTTGTTGCCAACTGAACACCAAGTGGCTTTGTAAGGATCAAGGCATCACCAGAAGCTGCTTTAGTTGGAAATACAATTTCATCTTTTGTGCACACAGAACTGGCAATTCCTCCAATCATACACCAAGGATTAATGTTGATCCTTTCAATTGTGAGACGACATTTAACCAATTTAGCACTATCCCGAAAGCCACTGACAATATCATCAGCCACCTGTTGTCGTTCATCGTCATTTAGCTCTTCGGGCATGCTCAAAACTATCTTAAGCTCATCTATCTCCTCGACGCCGCATGAATAAATGTCACTTACTACGTTAGCAAATGCTATTTTACCTGTAATAAATTTCCAGTTATGAACAATTTAAGGCATAGATAGGCATTGATAAGATAAGAAGTTCATACACATTTTTTGGTACTTGAACTTACTTAAAAGCCATTCGAACTCTGTTCTTTAGGCTCATTCTTCAATGATGTCAAAAATGTATTTTTATTTTTCTGTGACTTTATTAAGGAATGAGAATATAAGCTTTATAAATTAACATGACTTACCCATTGTAAATGCATCATCTAGAAGTGGATAGAAGAAATCTACTGATTGTACGAGGTATAAATTGTTGTTTTTTAATGGTATTATCGAAGAATCTAGGCCAATTCCTGTAAATTAAGACATAATTTTAAGATCCAGTTGACATTTGACATCCAGTCGAGATAACAAAATTTCATAAAAATCTCACCTATTGAATCAGCATTATGTGTATCATTTTTGTCGTCGTAGACTTTGTCAAGAAGCTTATTTAAAACTTCCTGACTAATCTTACAACCTCACCCACGCAATGTACTGAATTTTGTTAATTTTACTTTCTCACTCATTTTAATTACCACAAATTTTAAATTATTTGTCTTCTTAAAACTTTATTTCTTGTGCCGGTGAACAGCTGATGCGAAAAAGAAGAGGAACCGATGGAAAATGAAACGTGGATGCAAGAAATAAAAGCTCTTTTGCTGTTTATTATTTTACAATTGATATTTACTATTTAAAATCAGTGTAAATTGTTATAAAAATAGGCAATAAGGTTTACAAAAATTCCATGCTTACTATAAAATTAATTAATTTTTGAATGACATCTCAAATTGAGAAATTAAAATGAACATTTTAAAAATAGGAATGTGTATCCTGTTTTTTCGTTATAAGCTACTGCTCATTACTAAGCTACTAGTGAGCCAAAAAACCACTTTTTAAATCTACTAAGCTACTAGCTTATAACGAAAAAACAGGGTATTAAAATAGAAAAGTTTTACCCAACTTATTGTCACTTCCTTCTTAAACTCAATTTATTATGGGTTGAATTTGTCACGATCAGACCAATTAGTTAATTTCTCATAAAAGTCAATCAATTTTTGAGGACTTTCGTAACGCAATTCTTCATGCAGAACAAATTTTAACCCTTGCTGACCCTCATATTGTACTAGCATGCGTAACTTCTCGTCCTCGAACTGCATTTGAGAATATCCCTGAACAAATTTGACGCGTCGCTTTGGAGATGACTTTATGGCTTGAAAGTGTGACTGAGGATAAAATGAAATGTTTTTGAATTAGTATGTCACAAAAACTTTAAATTGAATTCAAAGTTTAAAGCATGTTTAAAAAAATAACGGTAAAAAATTATTTGAATTCATTAAGAGTTAAAATGTTCAATAACCGTTAAATTTAATGGAACTTTTTGGACATTATCACTACATGCGGAATTTGTGGAGCTCTTTCAGTAGTTGCTTGTGATAAGGATGCTTCTTGATAATCACGTGATGTACTGGGTTGAATGTCATCTAGGCAGTCACTTTTTGGTTCTTCATAATTCGTTGTTTCATAATAACCGTTTAGTGGATCATTTTTGTACGCATCTGCAGGATCATCATAATCGTCAGACGAAGAATCATTTATTTCAGCGGGAACTTTAGTAGCATTTGATGAATTAGTATTTAATGGATTTTCTGCAACTTCTACGCTTTCTTGTTTGACTTCTACTGTTTTGCCTTTTGCTGTACTCTTTCTTTTGGTTTTTCTAGCCTTAAATTTCTTTGTATTTGGTCTATAATTCTTATAATCACAATCTTAAATGAAAAAAAAAATAATTTTTATATCTCAATTATTTAAATTAATGTTTTACCGTCACTTGAATCTGATAAGTTGTCATAATAGCGAACCAACTCCGGATTGATATTTTCTTCAGGTTCCCATGAATTATCTCTAGCACTGTAGCCTGTAATTAATGATAATTTAAAAACTTTATTCAACACTTTAAAATTTCCTTAATAAACTCACCCATCCACTTTATCAGGAAGTATTTCTTTCCATGTTTAATCTTCGTGCCTAAAATATTCTCGACTAGGTAAAATTTTTGCTGTGTTCCATCCATTTATTCTTAATTAAACTTTTTGTTCTGTGTTCCTCAAATCAATTATTTTTTGGGTTATAATCTTTCGTTAAGTTTGAAGATCTCCAAAAATTCAAAGTAAAGTTAACCGTTGAAATTCCAATATATAACTCACCACAATAATAAAGGAAACGAAAACTTGTGAAAATTGAATACATAACAAATTAAGCTCCATGAAATTGCATAAATTCCCCTTATCTTCATATTATCCTAACAAATTTTCTCTTATGAAAGTCATATTAAATTACAGAAAGAAGAATAAAATATATAAAAATTTATGTTCAGTCATAAATATATGCATGGAAAGTACTTTGAGGAAAATATGTCTCAAGAGAATTTTCCTTATTGGTTTTTTTTTCGTTTTCGTAGTGGTGCAATCGGTTCTTTAATTTTGGGAAATTTTTTAAGGGTGTAAGGCAACACCTTTAGGGTTTAGAGTTGATGGCTGGTTCAACACTGACTGAATTGTTAACTGAAACTCCCAGATTGAAAGTTAAAAACCCGTTTAAAATTTGACATTTTTGAATTGATAAAACCGTTATAATTTTTTTAAGTGCGCCACGTGCTCAACCAACAGCAAGCAAATTACGATTATCATACTAAATTCTGATTCTCTTCATTTCCAATGAATATTCATACGAATTCCGATTATTATGAGTTAACAAACTGCTTCCATAATTTCATTTAACTCATTCGCTGCTCAAATTTACAGCTGAATGGTCACAGAAAATTTTCATTCCTCTTGACAGGAGACAATTAGAGATTTAAGAAAGGCAGACATGCTTAAGTTACTGTGTGATGTGAATTGAATTATAAAATAAAGTAAAAGCTTAACAAATCTAAGAAACATATTGAAATGCAGACACGCATTAAAAAGGATAACAGCTACACACATACTCGCACAACTGATCATTTAAAACGAAGCTTTTCCGAAACATTCAAACCAATACAAAAGAAAGAGCATTGACTCACCTACAAAAGCAGAAACCGAAGTGCATTCATTCATTTTTCGTATATGCTGCACTCGTTTTTGATTTTAATTGTACATAAACTACATGCAAACATTATACAAGCTTTACAGTGCCGTAGGTCATGTTGATAGTCTCGAAATAATAGTGAATATAAAGTTTTTCTTCTTTACGTATGGGGAAGCTTTAATCGCATGTCGACAGCGCTGCATATACATTTTTCATTCTATCTATATAAGAGAGAAATAATTTTCATATTTTGAGCAATTATTTTGACGGGTTTGAGCTCATTTTGGTTGACTGGATGTGAATGTGAAGGTTGTTTATCAGATATTAAGAAACGATAAATTGGATTTTAAGCTGAATTTAAAGAGTTATAGGTTATTGGAATAATTTTCTCTTTACTGGATGATATTTATGCAAGCTGCAATTATATGAAGCTTCTAGACCTATTGAAGGATATTTCTCTATTTTATTAAACAAATTTAAACCTGAAAGCTTAAAATTGTCATTAAAACATTCAAATTCAGTCTTAGTGAATTAGAAAGCGTCACATCCAACCCATCACAATTTCATACTCTAAACTTTCAAACTCATTTTCTTTCCTCTATTTATTTGAGTTTAAGTTTTTTATTCTCCTTTTGAAAAAAATGTACTGCGAGCCAGAAATGCTTTTTTTTCATGTTCAATTTCGCCTCTAGCCAGATTGAACGAGACGCTCGAAAGGAAAAGTAGCAAAAAAATAAATCGGAAAATTTTCTTTTTTTGTCGTTGAGTTAAAAAAAATTACTCAAGTTAAAGGCATAAGGAAAGGAAAGGAAACAAACAAGTGTTTAATGTTACAATGGAAGAAAGAAAGAGAAATTGTTAAAAAATAATGTTAATTGATTTCTGTGGCCAAAAATAAAATTTGATGGTGCTTTTCCGGCATTGCATTTTCCAGCACACAAATCAGAGCCAGAGAGGAAGAGAAAAATTATAAAAAAATATATATTTATGTACACTAAAGTGGAAGTGAGACTATTTAGGTTGGGAATAAAAATATGACATGTTTTGTGAATTAAAATATGATTTAAAAAATTATTAAAGCGGATTTCCAGACTGTTTTTGAGATACATGTGCGATTTAGGAATGTGGAATATTTTGAATGTGGATTTTAGTGAATTTTTAAAGTTGAAGTTGAACTTTGGATTGATTGTTGTATTAAAATGAGGTCTCAAGGGACTGGATTATAATGATTAATAATGTTAAGGTTATAAACTTAAAAGTGCAGCTTAGAATTATCAGAAATACAAGAATAAAATCACATTTAATTGCGACATATCTTAAAAATCTGAATTATGGAACTCGACAATTGAGGATCATAATAAAATGCACCTCCTCTCCTGCTCAGACAACCCCTTTAATAACGTCTGTCAAAAAAAAAGGCAATTTAACTCCAAACTTTCAGATATTTGATCCAAAATCAAGCATTAATCAAGTGCTTCAAAATTAAGTGAACACAAATTGTAAATAATCAAACAAAGCTGCTGTTTGAACAATTCAATTAACTTAAAAATATTGAAATACAGACAACAGCTGTGCAAATGCTATAATCTATATCATGTAGAGACACGATGTCTGGCAGAATTTTACACGTTTTCTTTCTGCGGTTTTAAATGCTTATTTCCTCTATGTTTTTCGATAATAAAATATTTAAAAACAATTCTAAGCTCAATAAAAAATTTCTTGCCAAAAAGTGATGCTTCCCATCCGTTTTTGTGGATATTTTCATGACACATGAACAGAGTATCACATGATTAGACGTTTACGTCACTTCATAAAATGATAGATCACTGACATTCTAATTTTTCACCCTCAGTGTGTAATTTCCCTCGTTCTTCCGACACAAAATGAAAATGCTTATCAATTTTGCTAAATTTAATATAACCTTCAATAATTGAATAATTTTTTATATAATCCATAATATTCACAATTGTCTGACTTGGAAGCAAGTTCAAATAGCAAAAGTTTTCATTTCTGGGTTTTCCCGCAATATATGACAACGAGGAATTAGATATGGCTTTGTCAGCACTTTCGATAAATAACACAAGAACCTTCAAAAAAATTTCAATTTTTCAATTGGTAAAATTATTGAGTACAGTTAAAGCTTTTATAGCACTATAATAAGCTATGAATTGTTGACAAAATGTTTAGAGAAATTTTCATTTTTATCGAACTTTTTTTTAGCAGATTACAATTAGCACGAGTTTTATTGATTATTTGAGAAGCTGTCAATTAAGCTATGAATAAAATGTAGCAAGTCTAGGCAGCTATATTTAAATTCAAAATGTTTCGTTTTAATTGATTTTTTACAAGATCAAAAAGAACTGACACAAAGGATATTAATTCTTAAAAAATTCAACTGAGCAAATCTAAGGACTAAGGACATCAAAAAGCTTACAAATCACTTGAAAATTGAAAACATCCTCAAAATTGTACTCGATATTAATATTTAAATCCATAGCCATAACTTTCCGTCATAATCTCCAAAATTGTCCTCTTGCCACGAAATTATCCAACAACAAACTAAAGAAATTCCTTAACGTGTCCACAAAACGATTCCAATTAGCAAAATTCAATTAACGTCCATGAATTTTTTTTTCTATCCACAAATTAATCAGAAGAAAGCTTTCTTCTGATTTAATTGACCCGCGCTACAATCACAATTTTTATCGACCATTTTCATAGAAACAGAAATAATTGCACAAAACATGAAAAGCTCATTTAGCATATTCACAAACAAAGAGGATTCACTGTAAAAAGTCTGAGCATTCACGTTGAGAAAATTTTTTAATATGGGAAATAAAATTTATGGATGTGAATGTCAGAAATCGTGGTTTGCTTGTTTTGGGAAGTTTATATTTAAAATAAAAGGAAATGAAGATGTGTGAAAGGTTTGGAATGTTAAGCTCTGCTATGAATCGCATTTTGAGTATGTTTGCTGATGTTCAGTGTTTTGTAGAGTGAGGTTTTTTCTGAGCAATCTACTTAAACATTTAAGCTTAATAAACGATGTTCGGTCCAATCTTCTAAAAACCTTGTGTCATAAATATAGATACCCACAGATTGAATTAGGTCCTAATTCTATTTCCTATAATTTTTTGATATATTTTATAAGAGAAGACGTAGCGATTCATTGATGATTAACTTAAGGATTCACTCTGAATAAAAACAGTCAACATCGCACATGCATTCTCAGACATAAACCAGTCTGGAGACGAAACGCAGCACTAGTCGTAGAATCGTGCCGAAACAGCATGCATATAATTTTTAAAAATCATTTCTATTTGTAACTATTTAAAGCACAAATTGTGTGAAAAAGTTAAAAAAAAGGCTCACGACGAGAAAATTGTTGTTGACATTTGTGTACAGCCTACGTTATTGACTAATTCTAAGGAAAGTGCAAATGAGATTTAAGAGAAAAAAATTAAAATGAAGTGAAAAACAAGTTTTTTTTATGAAATTATTCACAATAGGAAGAGAAAATAAGCTCCTTCCTTTTTTGAACTGTCACGAAAAGTGCAGTTGAGGAAGAAAAAAAAATTTGTGTAAATTAAGTGTGCAGCAAAAGTAGAGCAGCTCAAATGGTGAACAGAAAAAAGTTGAATTAATTATTTTATTGAAAAGTGGAAGGAAGAATAGAAGAAAAAAGTTTTGCGGAACCTCCAACATTCTACCGACTTACTTATTACGCAGCATAGAAAAAAAAAACAAAGGCAAATAAGCAGAGAGAAAGAAATAGAGTGAAATATAATTATGCACATATGCACCATAAACCTTCGCAACATAAAATTCATTCTCGCTTTTTTAATATTACGGTAAGTAAGTTCAGGAGTGCTTAGACATTGAATGAGTTTTGAATGGAAATTTCGTTCAATATGATCATGGTCTTCAAGATTAAATAGATTTTTTTTCGATGAAGTTTTCAAGACAGCCTTAACAATAAGCCTTAACTTAACAGCCTTTCAACATCCAGAAGACTTGAATCATAATGACATGCCATTTATTTATATTCAAAACCAAACTTTTTTGTCCTCGTGCATGATCTACTTTCGTCTTTTATGCAGTTTAGTTCATTTTACTTTCATAACCGTGATCTAGAAAAAAATACAAAAAAGTATATAAATATGCCGAACGACTCTGAATATTGAGCAAGTGATGTTAATATTAGTCATCCGTGCAGCCCTCTAAAATTCCTTCAAAGCTTTTCTTTTAAATTTTTTTGAAGTACAAAATTATGCTTGTCTTTATTTATGTTAAGAGAATAAAAAAAGTCTCTAATAATAGCACAAGCTGATGATCCTTGCGTGGCGATAATGAAATGAAATTCGCAACTAAGACTCATAAATCTTGTTATGTAACGTTTAAGGCAATTTTGTTGTCTTAATGTCTAGGGGTGTGCTTTAAGAGCTAGCGATTAAGTAGACCTTTGAGGTTTTAAGCCATTGAGTAGCATCTAACATGTAAATTTCAATTTCAGTGACCTGCTTCATGTGACTGAATCTTTGTTTATAATAACAGAGTTCAAGGACACAAACGTCACATAAATGTCATGCAAAGTTATTGGATGTGCACTCAAAACTCTAAAAAACAACAGAGACAAAAAAATTGAAGTCTAGTTCCTCACCCCATCCAACAGCCAACGAAAGACTTTAATTCAAGTGATTGCATGAAGAACAAAAATTAAAGATAACATCCATCCATATTTAATTTGTCAAAATTCATTATAATTCCGACGAAAAAGTTTGAATTGATTTGAATTTATTATGGCATGGAATATTTTATGGAGATGATTAAAAGAAGGAACTGACAAAAGTTTTGTATTTTTTTGGCACATGGCATCTTGAATAATTTTCTCAGTTCATGAAAACATCTTCAATGTCAACAATTGTACTATGACATTGCACTTGAAGTGTTCATACATGAAGGAGTTTGTAAAGAATATTGCTATAAAAGAACCACACTATAACTTGATTGTATGCAAGTGTGTTTAATTTCTAATGATAATGTCTCATAAATATTTACTTGAATTTATTTAACAAATTGTTTTATTGCTGGTTTACGTACACAAACCACGAATAATTTATTTACAATGTCAATGACTGACCGCTGTGAAAGATTCACATTAAATTACAACCTAGAAATTATAGTGAGCACAATTTTCATTCATACGGCATTTATTGCAAGGTTTGCCTGAAAATCAAAAACGTGGTAGAGATTACTGTTGTTATGAGAAAGTGTTTTGATTTGATTTGTTAACTTAATCAATCTTAAGAGATACCTAAATAGAACGGAATAGAATAAATATAAGAAATAGACTTTTGCCAACTTTTTCAACCATCTAAGCTTCGAATCTCAACAAATAAGTGCTTAAATACAGGGAATATAACAAAAAACTTTTTTAAGCGAGACAAATATAATTTGGGGTGTGAAATTGCAATGAAAATTCGGATAAAAAACTTTCAAATTTCAAATGAACGTTAAACTTTCATTACAAAAGAAATGCGCCAAACCACAATTCAATCACAGTAATATAGACCTCCATGCAAGTTTTATTTCATTTTTTGCGTCATACCATCGCCAACATGCAATTTTTCCATATTGGAAGTTCCTTAACATCTATAGAAATACAATGAACATTGAAAAGAAGAAATCCTCTATTGCTAAATGTAACCTTCATGAAATTAAAAATGATTGCATTTCTCTTTTTGTAAATAAACATCGACTATCATTGATCTTGATCTACAAGGCAAGTTCCAAACGACTTGTAGTGTGCAGTTGAAATTAAAAGTGAGGCATGTATCCGAATAATAATATTATCAATATTAATAATGAATGAGCGCATCTTCTATGTAATGATTGTAGTAGATAAAGTCTACGATAGCTCTTTTATGTACTTTTTGTAATTGTTTGTAATTGGAACTATCTACAAATTTATCACAGATGAAATGTAAGCGGAAAAAGATGATGATAAATGTTGCAAAGTATTTTTTTTTTGAAGAGTGATTTTGTAGAATTTTTTATTGTATCCCATAAAAAATATTTTAGAATAAATGAATAGAGAAAAATGGAATCAACTTTGTCTAGTGACAATATTTATCTCGATTCTCGTCAAAATGTCAATTTATCTGAGTTTAGAAGTGACACTAGACATCTTTGAGTATCGTCTGCAATATTTGCGAATCGCTTATTAATCAACGAACTAAAGATACTGTAACTAAGCTTCAAAAGAAATTATTTATGACTTAAATCTAAAGAATGCTGACTATAGCAAATTAGGCAATTATCAAAAATTATCTAATCCACTTTTTTACTTGGCAATGATTTTTGTTCGTAACTATAGATTGGTGCAGATTTAAGAGATTCCGATAGAAATGATTTATCAGTGCAGATAGGAAATATATCAGTTCCTCAGTCCATAGAAGAAATTTAATGAGCCAAGCTTTTCAATATTTAGATGATTTTTGGAAATTATTATAACAAAACCTACGTTCAAAGAAGCTTTAGACCTCCAACAACGTCTAATGTATAATTGAAAGAATCATAAAATTTCAGTCAATTCCAGACTAATGTATCTCATGATTTGATACAAAATATGTTTCTCTTTAGCGCCGATGCAAAGCAATCTATTTGAATATCCAATCATCTCGTTGATTTGTTCTGACACCTTAAACGAGTATAAATTGATGGAAGGCATTATCATATCACATTATAATATCAAATCACATACAAGAAAGATATCGGTTAATAAATTAGTCTTGATTAATTTTAATTAAAAGTTGCACGCAGTTCACTTTAGTAAGTGCAATTGAGACTAAAGCTTTGAAGACAACAGAAATGAATTGAAATGAAAAGATAATAAACGGCGATGACAATTTTTTTCCTTTTATTTCACAATTTTCACATCAGAAGCAAATTCTCTATTGAGATTAATGATAAGAAAGAAATTGCTGTGCCATGAGACATAGCGGAATCAATTTTCAGAGTCAGTATATATCTCTATCCACATCGTGTGACGAATGTGTATCATGTACAGAAAGTGTGCATCGTATTACATACATAAATATGAATGATACATAGCACTAACGAATTGATTTTTTTTTTTTCGTTATTTATGTTTAATGTCCTTGACGTTGCCATCTGATTTTCACTTTAAAACATGCAATTTTCATTTCAGTCAATTCGATGTCGCAGCAAGTTCACATGAAGAAAATACAACGATAAAAAAAATTGTAGTGCCTCCTGAGAAAAGACCGCCATCACATAATCACAATCCAGTTATGATTGAATTTAGTATTTTTGTTGTCGATATAAATTCTATTAACGTTGAGGATATGGATTTTCGTGTTGATATGTTTGTTCATCAAAAATGGAGAGAATCACGATTGACACTTACTGATGATCTCTTTGAGGATGGCGACGATTATGTTACATTGCCGCCAGAGCATTTTGAGAATTTATGGCAACCCGATCCATATTTCTTAAATTCAAAAGTTGCTGGTGAGTAGAGCTTTTTCAGTCATGCTTTAATTTCAACTTCCTTTTATGCACTTATTCTCCATTGGATTTGAATTACTTTATTCACTTTGAGGCTTCGTGGATAGATTTTACCATGGGATTTACAGAAGGGAAACTCTGTTCTTAACTGTGGACTCAATATGTTTTTAGGAATGTAAAAAGTTAAATCCAGTAATAGTTTTAATCCAAAAAATTGTTAAAACCCATTTCACTCTAATGAATAGCTTGTAAAACTTTAAAAGCGCTATAAAACCTATTGAGCAGCAAAAACAAAAATGCTTTTCTGTCCTTAATCTGAAAACACACTCAAAAAAACAAAAATATATAAATCCAATGGAGAATTTAAGTGCAATTGACCTATTTTCCGGTGTTATCATATTAATCATGCAAACTTTTAATACAATGTTACTATTTGTTACTAAAGTATAAAACTTCAAGAATGTGTTCATAGAATTACAGGCCATAAACCTTTCTAAACGCTCTTCCTATTGCAAAACATAAATTTTGCATCTTGAAGAAAACTTTTTCTCGTTCCAAGTTTTCAATCAAATTGAAGTGAAAGTAGCACAATGCAAGTCTTAAGTGTTGCAATTTTCTTAGACACAACTTCCCATATACACACACGTGATTATTTGGCATTCACAATAAATCAATCATTCTACAAATATTTTATTGATTGATTCACATAATAAAAATTTTCATTTGGCATGTCCTCGTGTCGCGCGATAAAGAAAATTTCTTTTCGGGTTAATTCTCCTTATTGATTTTTATTTCTGCTCAAAATTGCCTTTTTTCCAAAGAAAAACTCAAAAGAAGAAAAATCCATAAATCTACTATCATGATGGAACTGTAGTACAAAATTACTGTAAAATTCGCCTTTATTGCCTCTCATCCTTTTCCGTATTGCATAAATTTCTAATTTATGCTACCAAGTGGCTTCTGATAGATAATTAAGTATGCTGGAAAAATAGCAAAGTTGAATTTTATTCCTTGAGAAAGCTTATTTTTTCAGTTATTTATGAGCAGCACGGCAATGATGTGTAGGTAAAATTGATAAAAAGTTTCGAGTTGATTTGTGTCTCGTGCGCTCTTTTCTATTTAGTGTCTTGCTGTCAATTTTAATTAGAATGTCTGGATTAGTTCAGAAATCAGTAAAATTTGTGATTAATTTTGGAAACAGTGCGAGAAAACGGCAATTAAGTATGTCTGCTATAGATCAAAATGCTTAAGCTTACGTGTAATTTACTAAAGCATCAAATTGCCTACAAAAAAAACATCCAAAGCTATAAAGCATGTTAAAAAGTTTCCAATTGTCGGAAAAATTACGAAACGAGAAAAAGTTTTCTTTAAACTTTAATCATGTTTTGATTATTTACCGTGGCTTTCATCACGTCTAGAATGTATAGAGTCCATAGTTCATAGCCAAGTGTATTTATGGGAAGAAGGTTTGCAATGTGTTTAATTCAAGGGCATAAGGAAATATATGTTTAATTTATGCCGCGTGCATAAGCGCGTATGAGCTTGATCATGATCATAAAAATAGAACATTTCAAAGCTATAACAAAATGTGCTTAAAGATTTATGTGATTTCACTTTGAACTTCATCTTGAATGCATTACACCTCCCATGGCCTTCGCATTACATCACATAAGACTGGTCAACATTGTATTAAAGAATTTTTTCTATTTTTTTTCTTTTGATATATTCAATCTAATTTTATTTCTTCTATCCAACCTTATAACGACGTGTGAAGAATTACATGGAATTTACATGATACAAAAATTTGTTTATGGGAGAGGTAATGAATGAGACACACTGACTGAGGTCGCTAGGAATATTGCTTATTTGCATATATTTTCATTCTCCTTTTTTTGAATTAATTTCTTTTTTCGTTCCTTATTTTGTAAATTTATTCAGCTGGCACTGCCGAGTACTCGAATTGAAAGAAAGGCTTTGCTATTTGTATGACAAAAAGCTTCTTTTATTCTACTTCATTATAAATGAAAATTTAATTCAAGGGTCGCATCACATATAAGGATATGTGACCTTTGCTGTGCGAATAGAAATGAAAACTTTTGCTGTGCATTTTCACTTTAAATTATTTTTTTTGTCTTCATTTTTGAAACTTTTCTTTTTCTTGGCACGTTTTGGAGTTTTTGTGCGCATTATTTTTTTGGAGTTTGTTTGATTTGGAATTTCTTCCAGGCTCGTTCACTTATTAGGTCTCCTTTGCTTCTGTCAAAAACTTTTTAAATGCAAAATTTTTTTTTTGAAATATCAAACTTTACAACTTTGTAAAAAATATAGCCAAGAATAAAGTAAAGAAAAATGCGCTTAATCCACTTGGAAATGATTTTTTTACTTAAAATATATTTTTATATATTTCTATTTAATAAACTTTAAATCTCTAAACCACTTTGCTTATTTTTTCATTTTAATTATTTTTGTGTACATAACACAGTTTAAATACAACAGTCCCTAGCAACTATCCAATGATTACATCAAAAAATAAATACACAAATAATAAGACATTTCAATATAGCTTCTGCGGCAAATTGATTTCTAAGGAAAGGTTATTGCAGAGAATATAGAATAGGAAGCATCGATGACACCTGATATTACATAATAAAGATTTTAATGATACAACAGGAACCAAACTTGAATTTTTCTTCTCTGTAGCCTTCGTAAAGAATTCGTTACAAATTTGTGGGTGTCTTTTTATGTTCGGTTTAAAGTTCCCTTAGTGAATCACAATGGCTAATTGATATTTGGATCAAAAATGTCTTTTTAATGAGTTAAAGATTCAATGCATTTTTTTAAACTATCAAACCTCCTTTAACCATGCATAGTTGTGTTGTTTACAACCATTTTGCTCAAAAATAGCTTCCATCTAAGTTCGCATTACCACAAATTGATTTTAAACCAATGATTCAATTAGCACCAAAAAAAATTATCACGACAGTGACAACCGATTGAAATGTCTTATAAATAAACAACTTTGGACACATTCAGTGACAGTCATAAACGATTTTTGTATCATCATAAAAATCCCATTAATTTTTTTGTGCTTATTTTTTTAACCAATAGAGTGCTTTCTCCTTTACATAGAAGCTCAAACATATTTTTTTTATCAATTATAAATTCTTTACTCCTTCTGAACAGAAATCGCAACGCTTACCCACAAGTTTAGTACCGTTACACTTTATAAGAATAAAACAATTCGTTATGCTGCTCGTTTGCATGCCATCATTGCATGTCAAATGGAATTTCAACTATATCCAATGGACATTCAAATTTGTCCAATTCATATTGAAAGCTTTTCATATAGCAACTCAAAAGTACGATTAAAATGGGCCGAGGCCGGTGTTAATATTAATCCTGAGCTGAAGCTATTGCAATATAATTTGGGTGCACCATTGCAATTAGAAGAGACGGATGGATATATGCCAGAAAAAGATGGGAACTTTTCACGCTTGACTGTCTATTTCCGTTTTGAGCGCCAAATAGGTAATGATGCTAATAATTCAAATGCTACAAAGATTTTATTGCCATCGATTTTACCATTTCTATGCGATTTAGGACATCATTTAATTCAAACGTTTGCACCATCGTCATTAGTTGTTATGCTAAGTTGGTTCAGTTTTTGGCTTGGACTTGATGCAATTCCGGGGAGAGTGACTTTACTTGTAACGTGCATGCTTACCCTTGTGACAATGTTTACTGGTGCTGATATTCCGCCAGTAGCTTATGTTAAAGGTAATAATTATTTTATCATGCATTTTTAATTAATTAATGAAGGTTTGCTTAACAAGATCATGAAAAAACTTCAAACTTTTTATGGACATATTAAATTGGCAAATATCACTAAAAGAAAGGATATAAATCAAAAGACTAAGTTGATGAAAAAACAAACTCAATTATTGCAAGCCTTGAAACTTTTATGTCATTTTTCAAATAATCCAGGTCAACAAACGCATAAAAATTTAATTCCATGCTAATTATTCAACTTTTTTAATTACTAATTTCCGTGTTTACACATTATCAAAGCTATGGATCTCTGGATGGCTGGATGTATGGTGTTTGTATTTGCAGCGCTGGCAGAATTTGTTGTCGTAAAAGTCCTAGACGTTCAATATCAACAGCAATTGAAATCATCATCAAAACAAACAATTCTTCCGCTTCGTTTGACGAGTACAATGGAGAAAGGACAATGTCAAACAGTAGCCATGTTTGATGGAACTAATGTGCGATCACGAAAAGCCAATGCACAAAATACACCAACACCAGTTAGTCAGGTAAATTATATAAACAAATTGCATGTAATTCTATTTCTATGCACATTTTTTTACATTCTGGATTCTATTGTAGACAAACTTACAAGGTAACGGAAAGCCAATAAACAGAAGGCAATCCATATTATCTGTATCGTGGACAGATAATGACACAGGGGTTGAAAAAATTATGTGGCGTGAAATTGATAAGCTCTCGCGTGTTGTATTTCCAGGTCTCTTTCTCGTATTCGTAGTTTTATACTGGCCAATATTATTATTTAAGACAAGTTCCTAGCAAACATCCCAAAATGATCCATATGTTTATGATAATTCGACAAACGAATGTTATCAAGATTGTTGATTTGCGAGCATTTAAAGTGAGATTTTTTATTATTGCTCAATTTATAATTTTTATGAATTAAGTTTAATCAAACGCTTTTAATTCAAAAAGAATGTTTGGGATGGACTGCAAGAATGATGCAAGAATTTTTATAAAACTATCGCATTGCAATCTAGAATCCAATGCAGAGGTTTTTAGCTAATATAATAGCTATAAAAAAAATCTCTTACCCAAATAAAAGAAAGCTTACAGCAACAAACAGAAATCATTTATGACAGTATTTTAGTCCTTAAAAAATTTCTTCTTTTCTAATAACTTTTCTTAATCATCTCAAGCATAGCACAAGTTCAATCTTTAAATTGAAATAAAAGTATGAAAGATATTTTAAGAATAAATCAATGACAGTGTCTTAAACAATACATATATGATCAAATACAGTTTTAAACAAAAGCTAACTGAATCACGCGCATACAATAAGAGAATACTATGATAATAACAAAAAGAGTTTTAATCCAGAGCTTTTAGATATGATATAAAGAAGCTTTCTATAATGACAGTACAACTTGCATTTTGGAAATTTTATTGTTATAATTTTAAACCAAAGATTAGTTGGTTCTGATTTTTAAAGAATTTAAATGAAGAGTTTTAATCGTTATGTACAGAACTTCAAAGAAAACTCGGACAGCAGCATGAAATTTACGAAATTAGTTTCCATTAAAGACTTCAAAGTATGATCTTATAATAGAAAAATCAGTATTCAATTTATGATACTCGAGTCGAATAAAACTAGATTCTTGAAGTTCTGTTCATATCCATTTGTATGAAAACTAAGATAATACTGCTCCTTAACATTGTGATATTGTGTAATTATCAGAATTGAATTTCAATTAAAAAAGAAAATGTAAATAAAAATAAAAATATCTAATAAGCGAACAACTTGAATGATTTGCATTTAAGGATAGATTTGACAAGGATTATTAAAATCAAATGGTTGATAATTTTTAAAAATCTTTTATTTCGATAAAAAACAGGAATGATTGCGGACAAATAACATTAAGTATTAAATGAAGTTTTCAACATGACAATCTCTTGAACGGGAAGAGTTTTGTACTTTTGATATGTTTAACAATATCTTTTATTTCCTTAATTTATAATAACTTTTAAAATTCTGTCTCCTCCTTAAAGTCATAGCCATAATCATCACCAACAAGTCCGGCATTTCTAGCCATTCCATAGAATATCGAATTTTTATTATCCATCAATGATTTTGGTGTATCAAATTCTGCAATCATTCCTGCATCTAAGACAATAATCCTGTCTGAATCCATGATTGTGTTAAGTCGATGTGCAATTGTTAAAATTGTGCAGTCATTAAATTGAGATCGGATTGTCTTTTGAATAAGTTCATCAGTTTCAAAATCAATTGCTGCTGTTGCTTCATCAAGGATTAACACTTTTGTTTTACGTAGTAAGGCACGAGCAAGACATACAAGCTGCCTTTGCCCAACTGACAAGTTTTCACCTCCTTCTGTGATTTTATGGGTCAATCCATCTGATAATCCTTTGACAAAACTTTTTAAATGTGAATGTTCTAATGCTTGCCAAATTGCATCATCTGAATATGAATTGAATGGATCAATATTCATCCTCAAAGAACCGCTGAAAAGCACTGGATCTTGTGGAATAATTGTCAATCTTGATCTCAAAGAATGAAGTCCGATTCCAGAAATGTCAACATCATCAATAATTATTTTACCACCAGCTGCTTCAACAATTCTGAAAAGTGCTAAGGTAAGTGAAGACTTTCCAGCTCCTGTTCGTCCCACAATTCCAATCTTTTCCTCAGAATTTGTCTTGAAATTAATCCCTTTCAATACTAAATCAAGACCTTCTCGATACCTGAATTGATAATTACTAAATTCAACAATTCCACTTTGTGGCCATTTTGGATTGGTTTCAATTGTTTTCCATGCAGCTTCTTGTGGTAAGTCGGCGTATTCTTCAACTCTTTCAACTGATACAATGTTAGACTCGACCTATTAAATTATCATTAAGTAGTGTCCAAATGTAAAGCAATGTCTAAAAACTTACCTCGGTCGCAATTCTTACAAAGAAGTTGAGCAGTGATGAAACTTGTAAGGCATATGATATCGAAAGACCAACAATTGCACTTTCCATTGTAGTTCGTCCAAGAACAGCAAATAACGATGCAAAAAGGACAATGAATGATCCAATAATTTCCAATCTAATTCCGAGCCATCTATTTGCTATAATATTTTGGTAAGCTACAGCCTGGTTATGGTCAACTCTCGTCTCAGAATCGACAATAAAACTTTAGAAAGAAAAGAATCATTGCTAGAATAATTTTATATATTCAAGCTTAAGTTTCACTCTTACCGTTTGTCCACATCGTATGCACGAATAGTCGATTGTCCACTTACGGATTCTCCGAAATGAGAATAAATTGGTGATCTTGTGATTGACTCAATTCTTTTTAATTGTCTTGATGTTGCAATATAAAATCTTTGAATAAAATAGTACACGACCATCAATGGAACGATGACAGAAATGAATATTGGAGTAGAGTATGAAATTACTATGATAGTTCCTACTAAAGCAAATGCCATTGAAAACCATGTTCTCATCATGTTAGGTAAGAAAGCATCAATAACGTCTGTATCTCGACTGAAACGGTTTATAATGCGACCTAAAGGAGTGGTGTCAAAGAATGATACTGGAAGTCTTAGAATATTGTGAAGAAGACGGAAATGAAGATGACGAGCTGCTTTGAGAGATCCTAATGCAAATAATACTGTTCCGACCAATATTGAAATACCTGTAAGTAATTAAATATGAATCTATAACTGTACATTCTGACATTTTCCAGTTCCTCACCTTGAAGTAATCCAAATGCTCCATACACTCCAACATACAGGTTTCTCCAAAAGATTTCTAAGTGAGATCTTTCATCCTGTGTCCAAATTGTTAGCCAGACTTGAAATTGAAATACGTATATTATTAAAATTGTGACCTAAAAGTCGTATTCAACGTGGGGATGAAGTACGGCCGAGACCCATATCGACACAGTTCAAAAGTTTACCTAATTTATGTCATAATTATGTCAGCTACAAAAACACTTAGTTTGAATTTTGTCACTCTCGGGAAAACTATGAACCAGTATAGCTGATTTTGGTCCAAATCTCTGCCATATTTCACACTTATTTGAACCACATTTTCTCGTAAATGTTAAAATATTATTAAAAGTAATTAATCCTGAATTATGTCGCCATTTTGTCAAGTGTTTTAAGATAAAGAATTTTTTTTTGGTTTCCACAGTGAAGAGAATGAACAAAATTTAGATGGGGTAGTCGAAATTTTAGATTTCGATTTTTTTTTATGCTATGCATTACAAAAAGTAATATTAGTATGTGATTTATGTCAGAATTATATCAATTCAAATAAAACATCCAAAAAAATTTTTTTGACCAAAGTACACCATAGAATATCAATTTTCAATTTTGGACTAGGGGCGACCCAAATTTATCCAAATAGATTGAAACTTTGCATAAATATTCTAGTGCTTAAAACAAATAGAAATAAAACATCCTTAATTTTTGCCAACTTGGTTCTTTGCTCTCAAAGGCTTCTAGGGTCGCCCCTAGTCCAAAATTGAAAATGTACTTGGTTCTTTGCTCAAAAAAATTTTAGGATATTTTATTTGTATTTGTTTTAAGCACCAGAATATTTATGCAAAGTTTCAATCCATTTGGATAAACCGTCGAAGAAAATAGTGACAAAATTGATTTTGACTAGGGTCGCCCCTAGTCCAAAATTGAAAATGTATTTCCTTCTTGGTTCTTTTCTCAAAAAAAATTTTAAGATGTTTTATTTGTATTTGTTTTAAGCATTAAAATATTTATGCAAAGTTTCAATCCATTTAGACAAACCCTCGAAGAAAAAAGTGACAAAATTGATTTTGACTAGGGTCGCCCCTAGTCCAAAATTGAAAATTGATTTTCTATGGTGTACTTTGGTCAAAAAAATTTTTTTGGATGTTTTATTTGAATTGATATAATTCTGACATAAATCACATACCAATATTACTTTTTGTAATGCATAGCTTAAAAAAAAATCGAAATCTAAAATTTCGACTACCCCATCTAAATTTTGTTCATTCTCTTCACTGTGGAAACCAAAAAAAAATTCTTTATCTTAAAACACTTGACAAAATAGCGACATAATTCAGGATTAATTACTTTTAATAATATTTTTACATTACGAGAAAAGGTGGTTCAAATAAGTGTGAAGTATGCCCGAGATTTGGACCAAAATCAGCTATAATGGTTCATAGTGTTCCCGAGGGTGACAAAATTCAAACTAAGTGTTTTTGTAGCTGATATAATTATGACATAAATTAGGTAAATTTTTTGAACTGTGTCGATATGGGTCTCTGCCGTACTTTACGCCCACGTATTCAACCAGGATACTTACAATTTCCCAAAACAGAAGCAGTCTGTGATATAATGTTAAACAAAACGACAATTAAAACGTAAGTGACTCCAACACTTCTGAAGTATCTAAGGTAAACTCCCCATGACACACTTCCGATTGCAGCTTCTTCTGATGTCATCAATTTATTTAATGCTGACTGTTTAGGCATTTCCTCTTGTTCACTTTGTTTCGATGATCTTCGACTGTCTCGTCTTCTTCTTAGCGAGCTTGTTGGTGAACTAGAAAAGATTGTGAACACTTTGTTCTTTAAACTGTTTATAACTTAACTTAAATACAAACTTACGATTTATCGCCTCTGTTCATTGACATTGTTGAAACGGATCTTTGGAAAATTTTCTTCAATTCTTCGTCATCACCTAATTGACTTCCAATTTCAGCTAAATCTACAAATGGAAAGTAATAAATATGAAGGAAAGGAAACAAAACCAATAATAACTTGTCATACCTTCTTCATCTTGATGTTCCTGAAGATATTGAACTAAAAATTCAGAAAAGGCTCCTTTCCTCGCAAGCAGTTCTTTGTAAGTTCCATTTTCAGTGATTTCTCCATTCAACATAACATTAATGACGTCTACTTTTGGTAAATAGGATAAAGCATGTGTAACTAAGAATCTTGTCTTTCCTCTTAGCATGCCTTCATGACTCATGACATTCTCAAAAATGTGTTTTCCAACATGAGAATCAACAGCAGACAATGGATCATCAAAAATAAAAACTTCAGCACCACTATAGACAGCTCTAGCTAAAGAAATTCTTTGTTTCTGACCACCAGACAAGTTGATTCCCTTTTCACCAATTTCAGTTTGATCACCACCAGGCAACATTGAAAGATCTGCAGTTAATGCACAAGCATGGATGACTTTTTCGTATAATTTCTTATTTAATGGTTTTCCAAAAAGTATATTGTCTTGTAACGTCGCATTTTGGATCCACGCTTGTTGTGGGACATAAGCAATCCTTCCATCAAGATTGGCAGTTCCACTAAGTTTTTCCATTTCCCCTAAAAATGCGGAAATTAATGATGATTTTCCAGCTCCAACAGGTCCAACAACAGCAGTTAAGCTTCCTTTATTTACGGCAATATTGATGTTCTTAAGAGTTTTTTCCATGCCACCCCAGGAAAAGTTTCCGTCTTGAATCTTCATAGCATGTTCACATGGATTTCTTGTTACATTGTTTGGATCAAGTTCTAATGAGTTCATGAACTTATTTAAACGTTTTATTGACACATAGGCGATCATTATGAAATTAATTCCTAAAGGCACTAACGTACGAAATTAACATGGGAAAAAAGTTTAAGTATTTTGATTAAGATTGTCTCTAATGGCTGGGATATAAAAAATACTTACAGAATGTCATTGGCATTCTTAGAATATTAAACAATGCTAGTGCTACAAAAGCTACATCCGGTGTTAGAGGATTACCAAGCATAACATAAGTGGTGAATGATACAAATGAGACCAAAAATGGAGTCAATCCCCTATAAAAAATAATTTGAAATCAATCTACAAAAATGTACAGAAATAATCAACGTACCATTGGAACTCAGTGATTGCATTGTACATAGCTGCATGTCTTAAAGTTTTGATTTCGACTTCACGAGTTTCACCAATTTGTTTTTCGAAACTTGGCTCCCATGCATACAATTTCAATACCTTGATTCCATTCAATATTTCATTTATGAGCTTGACACGTTCATCTTTGATTTTCATTTGTCGGAACTGAATGTTCTTCAGCTTATTAGCAATGATACCAGATAACGGGAACATGACAATTAAAACAGCAAGACCAGCAAATACAGAAACACCAATGATTCGCCACAATAAGAAAATTGCGAGAGACATAGTAAATGGAGCAGAAATAGTGAGCATTAAGTATGGAATCATTTCTAAAAATCTGTTTGAATCCACAGCCATTAAGTTGACTATTTCACCAACAGTTGTTGTTCTTTTAGCTTCACTGGAAATTCTTAAAGCTTTTCTGTAAATAGCACTGATTAATGATGTTCTCATACAGAATCCAACTCTGTATGCAATGATTGATTGATGTCCATTGAGAATCGCCATTACGAAGGTGATAAGGAACAAAGCAAACGTCAACACAAGTCCTTTCCATAATGCACCATCTGAATCTACATAAGTAATTAATGCTCCGAGAACCAATGGCGATCCAAACTGAAGAAAATCGATAAGAAATCGCATGAATAATGCAAATGAAAATGGACCTATGAAGGAGCCCACTAAAGCTGCAAGAACTGATCCTTCTGGTTTCGGTGGCTCCTGTGTTTCAGTTGTACTTGTGCCATTCGGAATTGATTTATTTTGTTGATTTCTGAGTTGTTTCTGCTGCTCTTTGTAGATTTTTCTATAGAAATAAAATCGAACGTTAAGAATATGCAGTTATGGACCAAAATTAATGTCTTACTTCTTTGATTTTGTGACACTTTTTTCAAAGTTGTAATCAAACTTTGGAACAAGCTCAGCAGAAGCATTTTCAGGATTAATATCATATATATCTTTTTCAGTAAGTGGTCTTCTGTAGCCTTTCCATGCTATTGGCTCAAACCATGCATAGAAAATTTTAATAATAGCACCAACTCCCAATTCTGGCGATGGATTAGCATATTTTGGGTATGTTGAATTTCTTGGTGGTTTGTCAGCAAAACAGCAAAGGAACCATTCGATTGTTATGAATGAAAAGTAAAGGACATAATTGATGAATTGAAAATCGGACCATGTGAAGTCACCATCTCCTAATTCAGCACTATTTAGTTCCCTTATTTCTCTCAAAAGTTGAGGAATAGCAAAGATTACTAGCATCATCCAGAATATAAACAAATAAATTGATGTTCTGTGGCCCTTTTTCTTATGATACAGTTGGATAAAGACTAGAAAAATCTATAAGCAATAGATTAATATCAGGAAATTTCTAATTTATCTCATTCTACTTACAAATGTGACGAGTTTAATTCCAATTGAAACATATTGAACATCAAAAATTTCTTCTCCAGTAGCAATCGCAAGCATTAAAGTCAAATCAACAATCGATAAGCATACTAGCAATATCGTAAATACTAATTTTGATAAATTTAAGAACGACCATGGAATGTCACTTCGTCGACTTCTCGATCTTCTTCTTAAGTCTACAATTGAAAATAGCCAAAGATATAAGCATGGCACCCATATCAGCACAGTTTGTTTAAAACAAAATGTAAAGTCGGGATTTGTTTCAGACCAAGTTAGCTCGGCGTCCTATAAATATACAATACAAAATAAACAAATATTGAATGAGAGTTGAGAGAATAAGAATTAATTTGAGTATCATCATTTCAATTAGTTGATTGATAGAATTGTGTGAGAAACGCACAAATAGTCTGATTTGAATTGGAATTAAAATTGATATGCTTGTTCTGAATGAGATCTTTTGAAAGATTGCTCATCACTATGTTCATTTAATGGCAATTTATTTAATTGAGTATTGAATTTAATGGAAAAGCGAAAGTTGGAATGATTAATGAAAAATTGCTACATTGAATGGATGAATCAAGGCATATGTACTTGATCATGTGTAGTTTCGGATGTAGATTGAACTTTAGTTATGAAAACATCGAACTCAGGTGCCGATCTCTCACAAAGGTTGTGTCTTTTCGACTCCTACAGAACTCAATCAAATGAAATTTGACAATTTTGAAAAGGAAGAACCTTGAAAGTTCCCATAAACAAGATATGACTGACGCATTTTACAGATACGATTGTCATTGACTTACTAACCAGCTTTTACTACTTGATGCCTACTATAAATAAAACACTCCACAAAAAAGCGTGCCTGAATGCCTAATTATTCAATGATAAGATAAAGCATGACTTTCTCAAAATTATTATTTGCTGATTTCCGATTCCAAAAATGAGTTCTTCATTGACTGATAAGAAGCATTGCCCAATTATGGGGAGTTCCTTATTTATATAGCTACTCCATAAATGGTATGGTACTCAAATATTACTCACGAGATTCTTAGCTTATCATGCCTGCGTAATCAATTAAATGTTTTGGAACCTCCAAATATGGATATCAGTAAATTCGGCGACAAGTCATTTGTCCATGTTATCTTATCGATGAATTATACAATGACAAAGTATGTGCAAGTATGGCAAATTTAGAGAAGGAGATAAAAGAATTGTACAAATTTTGGAAATGAAATTTAATAAAATTAAAAAATTAATGATCAAAATTGACACAAAAGCCTTAAATTGTTGACTTTTGTCTTTATAAATAAACGATTTTAAAGGTTGGATGATGAATTGTTCCTTCAAATTCAAATCTATCAAATGATTGCATCATTTTTGAAGTCTATAAAAATTTTAATTACCCAAAATGGACTTCCACAAAATTCTTCAAACATTTTTAAAATTTTAGCAATTCCTCATCCAGATTTTGCTAATATTGTGAAATAAACTGATCTTATCGACTCTCTTTTTTTTATTTCTTTTATATCTCTAATCAAATTGCTTCAAATTCCAAACAGTCCTCAATTTTCCACACTTTTTTTTGGTTTTCACAGTTTCACGTTCTTACAGCGACTGAATGAGAGTTGTGAAAAATTCTCAATTATATTAGCAAATGAAAAAAAAAGTCTTTATCGCTAGTCAAACATGTGTAAGTGGCAGAGAAAAATTGTAAAAACAAAAACATTCTCAATGAGCTGATTATTTTTGCCACATGTTTTTTGATGTCTTTTTGATACACATTTAAAAAATGTGTAGTAATCGGTAGCTCTCTGTTTTGTTTTGGTATGCCTTTCAAGTGAATAGAAATTATGATGAGAAATCTTCTCTCATTTTTTTTAAATAGGTTCTAATTATAGACGGCTATTCTCTTGCTCCGCTCTGGTGCTTGAATGATGATGAAGGTTGAGGTTGTTTTGGGGGGTCGAAGTTTATTTTTAAGAAATGACATACGTGAAGAATTGTTTGTACTTTTAAGAAATATATTAAGCCGGTAACAAGCCAGGTTCTTATTATTTTTTACACAGTTTGGGGACAAGATTATAATAAGCTTGAATTATGTTAAATTTTACAAGTTTATGAAATTCAATAAAATTAATCGAGGTTTATAAGCAATTTTTATGATTATAGATTAGGCTGCTTTATCTTGACAGATCTTCTATGTCTATAAAAAAAAGTTTTTAAGTATGATTCTGTAATCTTAAATTAATTTTGTAAAATTTATAATGGTAAGTACGATACTTTTATTAAATAATTTCTTGGCTATCTTTATTTTAATATACAGTCATTCGTAACATTGGAATTGCTATATCCTTTGTTGACATAAATTTTACGGTTTAAGACCAAAAAGAGCATAATTACTTTAAATTTGAAAGAAAAGAATATTCCTAAAATCGAAATACTTGAAAAATTGATCCCATTATTCTTCATTGAGTTTTGTGCATGCAAATGTGCTTAAATTTTGAAGAAATTATTTGACCTAATAAATTTTTGAAAATATCATTAATTTAAAATTCGAAATAATAATTCAAAGGTCTGTTTCCTCGTGCTCTTCCTTCAAATCTTGGTAAGGCCTCATCGGAATCTCAAAATCTTCATTCACTAAACCTGCATTCTTAGCCATTCCATAAAATATTGAATTTCTATCTTCCAACAATGCATGTGGTGAGTCAAATTCAGCAACCTTTCCAGCATCCAAGACAATAATCCTATCAGAATCCATGATTGTGTTAAGTCGATGTGCAATTGTTAAAATTGTGCAGTCATTAAATTGAGATCGGATTGTCTTTTGAATAAGTTCATCAGTTTCAAAATCAATTGCTGCTGTTGCTTCATCAAGGATTAACACTTTTGTTTTACGTAGCAAGGCACGTGCAAGACATACAAGCTGTCTTTGACCAACTGATAAATTTTCTCCACTTTCTGTAATTTTATGATTTAGTCCATCAGGTAATCCTTTGACAAAACCTTTTAAATGTGAATGCTCTAATGCTTGCCAAATTGCATCATCTGAATATGAATTGAATGGATCAATATTCATCCTCAAACAGCCGCTGAAAAGCACTGGATCTTGTGGAATAATTGTCAATCTTGATCTCAAGGAATGAAGTCCAATGGTTGAAATGTCAATACCGTCAATAATAATTTTACCACCAGCTGCTTCAACAATTCTGAAAAGTGCTAAAGTAAGTGAAGACTTTCCAGCTCCAGTTCGTCCAACAATTCCAATCTTTTCCTCAGAATTGATAGTAAATGAAATTCCTTTAAGGACCAAATCTAATCCTTCACGATATCTGACTTGATAATCTTGAAATTCTACAACTCCTCTTTGTGGCCATTGTGGATCAACGTCAATAGTCTTCCATGCAGCTTCTTGCGGTTTTTCAGTATATTCTTCGATTCTCTCAATAGCAACAATATTGGTCTCAACTTCGACAGCCATACGAACAAGGAAGAAAAGTAACTGTGATATTTGTAAAGCATAACTTACTGACAATCCAACAACCGATGGACCAATTGTATCACGAGCTAAAATAGCAAACAATGCTGAAAAGAAAATTACAAGTGAACCAATAATTTCCAATCTCAATTGAAGCCATCGATGTGCCACAAATCCATGATAAGCAATTCCTTGATGAAAGTCAATTTTAGAATCTGATTCAGAAATAAATCTCTTCTGTTCTCCATAAGCACGAATGACAGACTGTCCACTAATTGTTTCACTGAAATGTGCTAAGACGGGACTTCTCGTGAGTGATTCCAAACGTCTTATTTGTCGTGATGTCTCAATATAAAACTTTTGAAGGAAATAGTAGATCAGGAAGACAGGTATGACAGTTACAAGGAACCACGGTGTTGCAATAGAAATTACAATAAAAATGGCAATGACAGCAAAAAGCATGAATATGTAGTTTCTCATAAATATTGGAATGATGTTGTCAACAATGTCCATATCCCTAGAAATAATAGTTTAAATGTAACCAACTGATTGTGCAGGCATCAAATGGATATACCTAGAAAATCTGTTTAATAAACGACCGAGTGGAGTTGTGTCAAAAAACCACATCGGAAGGCGGACTATGTTGTGAAGAAGATTGTTATGCGATACTCGAGCAACTTTCAGACATCCAATGGCAAGAGTTACAGATGCAATGATTAAGGTGATTGCTGAAATTCAAATGAATTAATACATTAATAATCCAAGACAGAGTTTGGTCAAAAATATACCTTGAATGCCACCAATTCCTCCGTATATTCCAGCATAAAAGTTATTCCAAGAATTGTCTTCTATAGCGCGCTCACTTGATGACCAAATAGCCAACCATACTGAAAATTTTAAAATGATAACATAATACAAATCTATTTCAAATTAACTTCCTTACTATTTGATCCAACAGCAGCAACTTGAAACAGAATATTAGTTCCAAACGCAAGAAGTGTCATAACCAATCCAGCATGTTTGAAATATTTGAGGTAAACTTTTAAGCTAACCGTCCCAGATCCTGCATCTTCATTTTCAATAAGTTTTGACATAAGTGACTTCCTAACGTTTTCAAGGTCATCCTCCACGGTTTGAGGAAAAAGAGACTTTCGACGACCATCAATAATCGATATTGTTGAGCCACTAAATGATGTAAAGTTAAATAAAAGTGAGTTAAAAAATATAATTTATTATTACCGTCTCATATCCTTAATTGAAGCTTCGCTGTTCAGCCGATTCCTCAACTCAATTGGAACTTCTGTAATATTTATATTTTGCGTTTCATCATTATTTGGTTTTTTGAGTAAATTGAATCGTTTACCTTGTTCTTCTCCTTGTTCTTGCAAGTATTGAATTAAAAATTCTGCAAATGCTCCATTTTGAGTAAGCAGTTCCCTGTTGAATTTTAAGGAATTACATTTTATAAACTTTTCTAAAGAACCATTTAAAATAATGTATGTTAAAGCAAAAGAACCTGTTTCTTCCAGGGAATAATTTTATTCCAACTTGACTAAGCATGACAAGGTAGCAAAATTTATGATCAGGGTTAAGAAATCAATAAAATAGCGAAATTGTTTACTTACTTGTATGATCCGGTTTCAGTGATTCTTCCATTCAGCATAACATGAATAATGTCAACTCTTGGTAAGTACGATAAAGCATGTGTAACTAAGAATCTTGTTTTGGTCCTTAATATGCCAGTGTCACTCATCAAGTTATCAAATATATGCTTTCCAACATGAGAATCAACAGCAGACAATGGATCATCAAAAATGTAAATTTCAGCATTACTATAGACAGCTCTAGCCAACGAAATTCTTTGTTTCTGTCCACCAGACAAGTTGATTCCTTTTTCACCAATTTCAGTTTGATCTCCGCCGGGTAACATTTCAAGATCAGCCGTTAAAGCACAAGCATTAATAACTCTTTGATAAAGTCTCTTGTTCAATGGCCTTCCGAAAAGGATATTATCCTGAAGTGTTGCATTTTGAATCCATGCTTGTTGTGGGACATAAGCGATTCTTCCATCAAGATTGACGTTTCCACTGTGCTTTTCCATTTCACCAAGAAATGCAGAAATTAGAGAAGTTTTGCCAGCTCCAACAGGTCCAACAACAGCAGTTAAACTCGCTCTATTGACGGCAATGTTGATGTTCTTTAAGGTTTCATTAGATCCATCCCAGGAAAACGTTCCATTCTTGATGTACATTGCTTTATCACATGGCATGTGAGTAACATTATCGGATGCAATTTCCTTTGAGTTTAAAAATTTGTCGATTCGCTTGCCTGCAACAATTGCCTGCATCAAGAAGTTCATCAGCATAGGGACTGTAAAAAGAAAAAGTTAAGGGTATGTGCAGGTCAGAACCTCTCATTCCACACTACAAAATGTTAATACATACAGAATGTCATCGGAAGTCGAAGTAAGTTGAACAGAGCCAGCGAAACGAAAGCTTTTTGTGCATTGAGAGTGTTGCCAAGCATAACAAACGTGATGAATGAAACCATCGCAATAATAAATGGTGCCAACGACCATATAAAATATGCGAATGCATTATAAAGTGCAATCGTCTTTATGACTCGCATTTCTGTCTTTCTTATTCCGAGAATAAGCTTCTCGAAACTTGGTTCCCATGCATACAGCTTCAAAACTTTTATACCACTTAGAATTTCATTGACTGATTTGATTCTCTCATCCTTGTGAATCATCTGTTGAATCTGGAAAACTTTGAGTCTTGATGCAATTACAACCGATACTGGAAGTACGCATAGAGTCACAAAAAGACCTGCAAATACTGACATTCCAATATAACCATAAAGTAAATATGTCACAATGCCAATTGTCATTAATCCAGACCACATAATGTGAATATTTGGCATCAACTCGAAGAATCGATTGGCATCAACAGCCATTAGGTTTACAATTTCGCCAACTGTTGTGGTCTTCTTAACACTACTCGAAATTGTCAATGCTTTACGATAAATTGAAGCCATTAAGCCAGTTCTTATTCGATGTCCAACAGTCAAATTGTGGTGGTAATATTGACCATTCATATAAGGCTGAATGAATGATACAAGAAACAGCAAGAAAGCCAAAAAGTATCCTTCCCAATCTGGTCCACCTACATCAATGTAAGTGATGAGCAAATCCAAAAGTAAAGGTGTTGATATAAGGAGCAAGTCACAAATAACACGGAAAAGAGCTGAGAACCAGAAAGGTCCACCGTAAGCCTTTATGACTGACATGAATGTTTTTCCATTGCTAACAATTGTTGAGCCTTCTGGTTGCTTTGGCATGGTTCTGTGAAAATTAAATAACTTTAAAGTTTTATGTTAAGCAAGTATTTCTGTGCTTACTTTTGATTCTTCTCTATGCTCTCCTTAAATGCTTCATCAAATGGTGGAAAAAGTTCAGCACAAGTGTCTTTTGGATTACTGTCGTATAAATCTTTTTCACTCAATGGACGCATAAATCCTAGCCAAGCAGTCTTCGTGAACCAATGGAAATTAATTCTGTCCAAAATGCTAACAGTGATTTCAGGTGATGGATTTGCGAATTTGGGATAAGTTGAGTTCAAAGGAAGTTTGTCTTTGAAGCAAGTTATGATAAGCATTATTGTTATAAGCGAGAAGTAAACGCAATAGCTGAGAAACAGCCAAGCGTCTAACGACAATGAATCTCCTTGGAAATAATGATCCTTGTAATTAATGATAACATATCGGAACTCAGGAATGGCAAAGAATGTCAGCATCAACCAAAAGCTGAATAAAAGTCCAGAAGTATGATGACCTTTAATCTTGTGAAGATATTGTATGCCGGCGACGTAAATCTAGACAAACATCACATTAGGATAATAATGACATTCAATTTATTGTACATGAGCACTTACAAAAGTAGCAATTTTGATTCCTATGGTGACATATTGGACAGGAAAAACGTCTTCAGTTTCACTCATGCTGAGTAAAATCACCATGTCAGTTATTGACAAGGCTACTAACAAGATTATTAAGAGGAATTTCGAAATATTAATAAAAGACCATGGAATGTCGCTGTAACGACTTTTCATTCTCCACATTATGTCGAGTCCGGAAAACACCCATACAAAAAGGCATGGAACCCATATGAAAATTGTTTGTTTGAAGCATATTGTTAAGTTGGGATTGCTTTCTACCCAAAGAAGGTCAGGATCCTGGAACAAAAAATATATTTTGTAGGTTAGGAATTTTTGTGACAGAGGGGGAAGGGGGTCTATAAATCAGGTTTTTTGATAGACGTCATAAGTGAACGACCCCTAAAGTGATAATGCCTAATCTTCAATTCCACAATTCCGAGTAATTCATAATTTTGAAAATTTCCAAGACGCATGATTATCGTCTTTATCTTTACACCAAATCATCTGATTCTGACGCATATCAATCGATAAGAATGTTATTATCGTAAAAAGTAGGCAATGAAATTCTATCCATACTATATATACGTCTACATGCTTCAAATCTTTACTTAATAGTATGTAATTTATCAACAATAATGCTTATGAGCTTGGTGTCAAGTTACGAAGAAGAAAACTTTTTTTCTATTGTAATGCGTGCGTTGACTTTTTAAGGGTAGAAAAACGTATGCAATGTTTGAAATAAAATTTTAGAAGTTCTTTTATTTTAATTGGATTAAGTTTCAGTTTTGAAATTAGAACACGGAATTTGGATGGCAAATTGATTTATTAATATTTTTAAATTTTAATCCGATAAGAAAAATTTGCTGATAAAATTTGTTTGATTAAAAACAAAACCTTCATTAATTTATCTAGCTGCCCACATTGTGCAAAGTTCATGAATGAATATTCTCAGAAATAAAGCTTGCATTAAGTTGAAGATTTCGCATTGAATTTCAATATGAAAATTTGTTTATTTTTCTTGCAAAACGCGCCAATTTTTTACACACAGTATAATTTTGTTGTTGTATTCTTTATGTACACAGAAATTTGGCGACAACCCGGCTTTTGCCATTCGAGAAATATCGACCGAGTTTTCATGTTTTCACAGTAGTTTAGCTTTAAGTTTTTGTTTTGATTCTTAGTAATTTAAATGTTTGAGAGAGTTGCATTCAATTAAATCCTTTTTAATATTGCCCAATAGCTAGCTTAACTGGTCGTATGATAATCCTGCCTTTATATTAGGTGTGGTGTGTTTAATCTGAGTATATATCATGTCTTTCATATTTTTATTTTCCATAAATAATAAAAAATTTGCATATTGCAATTCTACTCATTTGAGAATTGCCGAATCAGCCATAAATATTCTGCTTCTTATCAGTCGGCTATAAATTTTTTTTTCTCTCATTAGAATTAGATCAAAGGCTTTTTGTTCAGACGCCAGAAAGGTTTTTCCCAGAAGTGTTAAACTGGTCGAATTTAATGCAAAAACCTCGGTATTAAATGACATTAAAGACTTTCTTTTGATGATTCTTAGAGCTAGGATTTAAGTCTTAACTAAGATACACGTGAGGGAGCTTATGAGCTTTTAAAGTAATTTTGTGATATAAAGTCCAGACTGAGGTTCAGAAATTATTTAAAGTGCGCAATATTCAAAAACTAATTTTCCTACTTTATAAGTTTTTATTCCAAAACTATGAGCAAGGTAGGCAACTCTGGCATTTAATAAAATATTGTAAATCTTCAGCAGTTCTCATTATTTTGCTTTAATTTTAAACCGCAAAACATATGTTAGAATTTTATGAGATAAAAACTATTTCGCTATAATCTGTTTGATCGATAACTTACCCACAACACACTTCCACAAAATTCTTCCATTATTTCTCCGAAATATTTATTTTACAAAGATTAAATCCACTTCATTCATAAAATGGAAATCGTCGATTAAATTTTGATTTACAACTTATCTTTTGTTCCTATTTTTTGTGCTTTTATCAGTTAATCTTTTTTATCAATTAAATAGTTTATCACATGTCTATTCATAGGATATAATCTTTCCTTTCGGGAAATTCCAAGAATTTTTTTCAATAAAACTTAATTAAATCCAATTAATTTTAATAATGTTGATGGATTTTTCGATTTTTTAGATGAAAATTAATAAAGTCAATGAATGACATGTGCCTTAGCCTGTGCAAATTCGAGTCTATTTATAGATTTTTTCTTTAAAAACTCATAAAATCTGTTTTAAACCATAAAATTATTAACACTTCACTAATTTACATCAATAATCACTCCACTGACATAGTTTTTGACCTAAAAACACTCAAATTTCACTTAATCCATGGATTAAAATAATGACGTTGTTTTACATCTGCACTTTATGAAGAATCGACTGTACAAAATCACATCTAAACGCAGACTAACCACAAGAGGCAAAAAAGGTGTACGATTTACAGTCTGCGATGAGATAAGGATCGATAAGATACGATTGATAAAAATCAGGAAATAAAAACCATTCAAATTTTTTTCTTTTCTTTGGCATTAAATTTTAATCTAATTCCCAGGAATCAAACGACTGTTAAGGATAGCTAGTGATGTTCCTGAATAGATCTTTAGCTAACTTTAATGGTCATTTTATTGCTGAATGTCGAATATTTATTGAAAAAAATCTTAAATCTGTATTTAAACTAAACTAGTCGATTTGAAAAAAACTTTGAACTTTACAATTTAGATAATTAATATTCATTTTAATGCTGTAGATTAAAATCTTTAAATCACCTGAGGAACACAGTATTTTCAAGAGTCATCTGACTTTCCATCAATGCTTTATAGATAATAAGCTACAGACACCAAAAAACCAACATTAAACTTTTTTAAAATAAAACCAACCAATGCTCACCTTAATGACATAAAATGGAGCAATATAACCTACACAACCCTTAATTTAAACCTATCCTTCAATTTATTGTCCATTCGTCTCGTTATTAAGGCAAATCACTATGGGGCAAAATGAAAAAAAAAGGGACTTTCACTTTGAAAAATGGACTTTTCCGATTTACACTTTTTGGGTGATTTTTTCTTGTAGAGGACATAAAAGTAGATAGAAATGCCAAATTTCAGGTCATTTGGTGCTGATTTCGCGATTCTAGAGCTGTTTGAAGTTGAAAACTAGTGAAAATTCTGGTTTTTTCATACCATGTTTGAACCGGGAAATATCTTAACTGGTTTAAGATATTGCAAAACGGTTTTCAGTTCCTATTAGTAGTATATAAGAGCTTTATTTTGACATATAACAAAGTTTAGGTTCTGAATGTTTTCGTGCCATTATGGTAGAACATATGTGAAAATTTCAGGAAAATTATCTTCAAACAAGCCGCAACTATCATAAATGAAGAGTTTCCAGGCAAGTAAAAACGCAGTTTTGTAGCCCCATATATCTAGTTTTCAAAACTGTATAAACTTTGAAAAAGTAAGCTAACGTAATTGAGTTATGTTGATTTTAGTAGGTCGTTGAGTATTTGGCCAAAAACTAATAATTCTTTTAAAAATACGAAAACATAGTTTTAAAAATAGTTTTTTGGTGTTTTCTTATGAAAAATAACAATTTAAATGATTTTGTGAAGAAAATTTTTCAAAAACTTCAAAATCTTTCGAGATATAGGGGGTATGTGCTCTCCATCGATTTGGCCATTTGTCACCCTACTTAAACCACTATAACTTTTTTTTGAAAAAATATTTTTTAATTCTGTTTTCGGATTATTGTAGCCTAATGTAATACCTATCCAACGATATATAATACTTGCTAGTTAACTTAGTCCTGGTTATTTATAGGGCTGTTGATTGTGACATACGCAGTTTTTGAAATATTCCCAAAAATTGCATTTTCAAAAATACCACTTTTAAGCAATCTCGAGTATTTTTTTAGAACTTTTTTATGTTTATTTATGACATTTATGAGATTATAAAGCCAAAAAATTAAATTTAGAAACTTTTTACTTCCCTAGTTAACAACTTTGTAAAGTACCCTTGGTAGTCACTATCAGGTGTGAAAATCTCAGTTTTGAAACTATTTTATATATATACTCGTGAAATTCTCTCTACACATCATATCAGTTTTGAACTTCATTGAACAAGTCACTTTCAAAAATGAACCAAAATTCAACACTTACGAAGAAAACACTCTGTGAAATTCTTCGCGACAAAACGTTAAATCTTGCAACACAGCACACGTACTGTTTGGCAGTAATAGAAGAAATTCATGGGAGAGAATTAGCGGAATCACAGAAACCAAGTTTAATTAATAAATTAAACAAGCTGAAGTCAAAGTCAAAAATGTTTTGTAATCAGTCAAATTGGAATAATGCATTAAGAGATCATGCAGATTTCTATGAAGAGGAATTTGAAGTTGACTCACGATACTTCAGCGAATCTAGTGGAGGGATTCTTTTTGAGGAAGAATCTATATATGAAGCAGAAAATGTTACTGACACAGATGAAGATATGGATGAGATTGAATACATCGTCCATGACATAGAGCCTTCATCCAGCAAGGGCATCAAGAGGAAATCATTTGAACAACTAACAAGCGATAAGCATCGACGTAGAAGAGTGGACGAATTAGATATCAGTTTAAAAGAAGCAAAAGGATCATTGTTATCAGTTCTTCACTTGGCACTTCGCCTTTCTAAAGAAGAAGGAAAAGTAGAAGGAGCTAAAATGTTAAAAGAATTTATTAAGGCGTGCCAAAAAGGAGAGGATCTTCCAGAAAAAACTACATCAAAACCTAAACAACTAGATATACATGTAGCTCTAGGTGTAAAAGCCTTTAACAATTTATCTCGAAATCAGTACAACAATATTCGACAAGTCCTGAAACTGGAATGCGAAAACGTTTTACCGACAGCTAAAAAATTGTTGAGGTTAGAGAAACAATGCTATCCTGATGACATAACGGTCACCGATACAAGAGCCGTTATTCCACTAAAAAATTTGACACAACTCACCACAAAAAGAGTTATTGAAGCACACAATTCAGAAATATACGACAAAATCAAAATATTACCTTCAGAATCAACTCCAAAAGTTATTCATGCAGAAATGATCGTCACATGGGGGATGGACGGAACAACAGGACAGTCACAGTATAACCAAGGAAAAACAAATTCAAGAAATCAAGAACGAGATAGAACACAACCGAATCAAACGACTAATAATGAAATTATAGAAGACAAATCACTATTGACAGTTAGTATGAGTGTTCAGCAACTACGACATGAAGACGAAAACGGAAATTATATCTGCTTATGGGACAACGAAAACAGTCAATCTGTATACTCAGTACGACCAATACAACTTGAACATGCCAAAGAAACCAGAGTAAATGTTAGAAGGATATATGAAGATATAAAAAATCAAATATCAAAACTTGAACCACAGAGATTCATATGTGAAGACATGCTTTTGGAAATTACGTACAAATTCTACCCCACAATGTTAGATGGAAAAGTTTACACAGACCTTACAGAAACATCAGGATATTGCAGATGTCAGCTTTGTAGATCTGGACCAAACGAGATGAGTGACATAAATAATCTTGATAATGGAAGATTCGAAAAAACACACAGAAAATTTGTTAAAGAACACTTGTATTTCAACACTCAGCCACTTCATACATCAATGAACGTACTCACGACTCTATATGATTTGTCATATAAACAATATGTTCAAAAACACTGGCTGGAGATAACTGAAGAGGAACAGATTGTTTTAGATGTTGAAAAGGCTAGAATAAAGCAAGCAATGTGGGATGCATTTAATGTTCGTGTACTCGAACCAAGACAAGGGGGAGCTGGATCATCAGATACAGGAAACGTTGCAAGAAAAGTTCTTGAAAATCCAGAGCTTCTAGCTAAAACTCTATATCTTAATGAAGAAATAATTAAACGTATATGCTATGTGCTAAACCAAATTCGAAGTTTAGAACCAGTTGATGATCTAGATGAATTTGATAGGTACTGTAAAGAAACATACAGAATGTTTTTGACAACATATAGTTGGTTCAAAATACCAGTAACACTTCACAGAGCACTTGCTCATGCAAAACACTACATGGAAGCCTTACCATTACCTCTAGGAAGAATGAGTGAAGAAGCCGGGGAGTCACAAAACAAATATCTCAGACAAGATAGAGAACTACGTGCCAGAAAAACTTCAAGAATACACAGTTTTACGGATGTTATACATAGAAGACTCTACAGTTCTGATCCAGTAATAATAAAAAAATATATGGATGTAATAAATAAAAGGTTAATGAGAAAAAATGTCCAAGAAGAAGGTGAAACACCTGAGCAACAAACAGAAAATGAGGAAAAAGATGAGGAAGAAATTGAATTGATTGAGCCAGAAGGAGAAGGTTATGACTTTTCCCAAGCAGAAAACTATGATTATTCCGAAGGACAAGACCATGAATATTCTGAAGAAGCAAACAACGAATGAATAAATAAATTTCATTAAATATGATAAAAAAATGTAAATTAAATTTCTTGACAAATAAACAAAATTTCATTAAACTAAAAATTAAACTTTATTAATTTTACCTATTATAGTTGCGTATCAGAGTATTTTTTTTATTACTCTAATGATAATAGCTTTTTTCAGACTTAACATTTCTTAAAAAAGTCCAAAAAATACTCGAGATTGCTTAAAAGTGGTATTTTTGAAAATGCAATTTTTGGGAATTTTTCAAAAACTGCGTATGTCACAATCAACAGCCCTATAAATAACCAGGACTAAGTTAACTAGCAAGTATTATACATCGTTGGATAGGTATTACATTAGGCTACAATAATCCGAAAACAGAATTAAAAAATATTTTTTCAAAAAAAAGTTATAGTGGTTTAAGTAGGGTGACAAATGGCCAAATCGATGGAGAGCACATACCCCCTATATCTCGAAAGATTTTGAAGTTTTTGAAAAATTTTCTTCACAAAATCATTTAAATTGTTATTTTTCATAAGAAAACACCAAAAAACTATTTTTAAAACTATGTTTTCGTATTTTTAAAAGAATTATTAGTTTTTGGCCAAATACTCAACGACCTACTAAAATCAACATAACTCAATTACGTTAGCTTACTTTTTCAAAGTTTATACAGTTTTGAAAACTAGATATATGGGGCTACAAAACTGCGTTTTTACTTGCCTGGAAACTCTTCATTTATGATAGTTGCGGCTTGTTTGAAGATAATTTTCCTGAAATTTTCACATATGTTCTACCATAATGGCACGAAAACATTCAGAACCTAAACTTTGTTATATGTCAAAATAAAGCTCTTATATACTACTAATAGGAACTGAAAACCGTTTTGCAATATCTTAAACCAGTTAAGATATTTCCCGGTTCAAACATGGTATGAAAAAACCAGAATTTTCACTAGTTTTCAACTTCAAACAGCTCTAGAATCGCGAAATCAGCACCAAATGACCTGAAATTTGGCATTTCTATCTACTTTTATGTCCTCTACAAGAAAAAATCACCCAAAAAGTGTAAATCGGAAAAGTCCATTTTTCAAAGTGAAAGTCCCTTTTTTTTTCATTTTGCCCCATAGTGCAAATGCAAATCTTAAACAGCAGATGATTGCGCATCAAGGTAAACAATTCCTTGTAAAGCCTCAGCTGATGCAAGTTTTGACTTTTCACGTCTAATTTTAATGAACATTGACACAACACATATTTCAACATAAGTCTTAATGATCAAAAACATTAAGCATATTCGGAAGAGATGATCATAAGAGATAATTAGTCCAGTTACACATCCGATGAAAGCCAGTGATAGGAAAATTGCATCAAGTGTGAAGTATGGGATGAAGAAACAAGTCTTGCGCTAAAAATAGAAGAAATAATGGAAATATGATGGAAATATATCAAGCTAGGCAATTAAAAGCAATCAATATTTTGAGTCAGTTCCATCAAAAAAAAAAAATATGCTCACCAAATGTATGCCGCCGATTAAAATTCCGCAAAATAAAATATATATAACGAAGAATAAGGTCAAGAGTAAGTAGATGATGATGACATATGCTGAAAAAAATGAAAACTCATGAAACATCTCAATTAATGCCTTTAAAATAAATAATATATCATACTGCGGGTAGCGTGATCAATGTATTCCAACCGGTTTCCAAAAATCATCCAAAAATGCCATCGATCCATTAAGTCACTAAGTTCTAGTAGATCCACTTCATTGACAAGTATGACTTCAAAATAAAATGTTGTACATGCCAACAGGAACCAAATAAATCCTTCAATACTCAGCCAAGCGATTAATCCGTACTTTAAATCAAATAAGAAGCAGCACTTTTCAACTTTTGGAATTTCAGCTTCCGATAAAGAGACGTGAAGCATTGCTTTTGGCACATGAATATGTTCAGCGAATTCAGGGTGAAGCTCATGATGTTCTTGGGCTTCATGTTCCTCCTCTTGTTCTCGGACTTCGCTTAATTTTCTCATTTTTAACCAGTCGATCCTTTCAGCACTACACACTGCACTCAACTAAGCTGAAACTATGTTGAAGAGTTCTCTGAACAATGTGAGAGCGAGAGCGAGAATGTTTTAGAGAAATAAAAAGTTGAAGCGCATGCCAAAGAATGTTATTTTTTTTGGAGAATACAATATGAATTTTAATGAAGTTTGATTGAGACTTAACAGCGCATTTTATAGAATTTGTTAACTGGAATTGAATAATCAACTGGGTTTAAACTAGCTTTCATTACTCTATATTTCTGTATCTTTGTTGAATATTCTATCAAGAAGTAATAAAACAAAGCATAAAAAAAACTAGAGCATCAACTATGAATTTATAAAAACATATTATTGGAGTCTGATGAGTCAACATGTTGTTAAAGCAGAGAACTAAAGAATCAAGAGAGAACAGAACAAGAAGAATCATGAGAGAGAAAATAACAAGATCTTCATAAAAAGGAAGAAAATGTTTGCGAAATGCGATTTAATATTTTTCTCCCTATCATGTTCGGGAAATAATGAAGGGAGAATGAAAACTGGCGCCAAAAGTCTGAACTCCTTAACCTACATATCGTTGAACGTAATAAACTGCTGCGAAATTCAAGACATTCTGAAATAATGAGGTCAAAAATTTTTCATTAAAGTAGAACAAGCAATTTTTCGGGGGGAAATTTTTAAAAAATATATTAAAATTTTATTTTCTTAATATTTAATACAATTAACATCAAAAATGAAATCCACACAATAAATTTAAAGACATCAAAATTTCCTTATATACTATGAGCCTTTACAATTAGTTTAATTAATTAATTTAATCCTATATTTCCGCATGACTACCAATATTCAATAATATCATCAATTTGCTTTCATTTCCAATTTCCAATTTCATTTATGCAAGTTTTTCAACTCAATAAAAGCACTGGCCATTATTTCAATTTTCATATTTTTCGTGTCAGACTGAACGTACTGAATTACTGAAAGTTATAATTTTTTATTGAATATCCTCTGAAAATTAATGAAGGGCAACTTTTTGATAGACAATTAGATTCATTAACTTGTCAATCAAGGATTTGGATTTGAGTTTGGTAAATTTTTAGACTTGCAATACCTTTTGTCTACCAATTTATGATCTATACTGTTGAATTTTTGAAGTTTTGAGATTCGTGCTTTCTGCTGCCTTCAAATGAATCCTTTTTAAAAACTCAAATACGTTCAGTTCGTCAACTTTCACTTTTTGCCAATCTTCAAGCATTTATCCTTGGATTATCTATCAATATTCATCAGTTTGTGGTATTTATATTTATTAAATTGATTTGTTTCCCGATTGATTGTTTCTCAATTGATGGTTCCATCCATTGACATAAAAAATGCTACTTTGTAAAAGTTTTGAGTGTTAAAAATGCTAGTTTAGCAGCGATATTGATTGATGTATTATTTATTTTCACAACTTTGACCTTTGAATTAATTCATGATGATGTTTTGGTGCTTCAGGAGATTTTCTACTTGGATCTAGTTTGGATTGTTATGGAAACAGGCTAGCTTTATTGCTAAATTGACTGCTAATTTGTCAACTGTTCTACAGATGTTTGAGGTATTGTTTACAATATGATGTCGGAACTGCCATATCTAGACTCTTACCTATTAAGGCCCATTGACCTATATTCACTAGAATTTCACACACTATCCACTAAGGTTGTTGACTTTAAAGCATTCAAAAATTCCTGAGCTTTTAAAAAAATATTTTCGTGGCTGTCCTCTTACTTAAACAGCCACAGCCAGTGGCGCTTCACCAAGTCCTGGATTGGTATGAACTGGGCTTGAATCAATCGGTTCCAATTGATGATGTTGACTTAATGAGCTATGAATTGAAACATGCTCACTTGAACGTTTTCCAGCGTAGTCCTTGAACAGAGAGTAGACAGATACAGCAAAGTAGAACTTAATGAAGAAGAAAATGATGCAGATTTTAGCAATTTGGAGTTTGAAGAAGATTCCGATGAATCCAAATGGAAGGGCAAATGTAAGCAAGAAAATGTCACAAATAAGGTATGGCAAAAATAGACGACGTGAGTTCTACAAATAGAAAGTAAATATTAAATGTGAGTTTGTGTAGATGGAATGAATTTTTTTTATATTTTTGGAACTGCTTCTTGGGTATTTTTTTCCAGTAATTCGAAATTTCAAAATAATTTTAAAAATACTTTGAAATTCAAAACTGTTTTTAAAAATGCCGTTAATTTTTTAAATTCTTATCAGCTCCTTAAAATTTGATAATCTTCTGTGAATCAAATTTAATATTATTATATGACGAACCTTCGTTATTCCAATTACGAGCATCAGTGTAAATACCAGATATAGAAGAAAGATTAACGCCAAGAATAAATTGCCAACGATAAGGTAAGCTGCATAAAAAATATTGACATGATTAATTTAATTATAATTTCCATCATGGTAATTAATTTTGTCATCCTTACTTCGAACCCACTCATCAATTAATTCCCGAGGATATCCAAAAAGGACGAAGTAATACCAATCATTATCCAATACATCACTGAACTCGGCAATATCAACATTAATGATGTACTTAACTTCACTGTAGATTGACGCGAATGTTAAAACGGCCCAGAATAAAGTTTCAAATGAGACGAAAATTAAAACACCACACCTCAAGTCAAACACAAAGCAACACTTGTTTAAACGAGGCAATGGATTTTCTGAACTATCCATTGTTGACACCATTGTAGCTTACAATTTTATGCTGTTGTCACGACAATTTCCTATCGGTTACTAAAAAGGACTATTTTTTTTTGTTTTGTTCTGTGAGAGGAAATTCCTTTGATCAAAAAAGAATGTACAGCGCATGGCAATATTTATATTTTTTTTGGAGATTCTCTCGCATGACTCATAAAGAATTATTCTTAGTAAGTTTAGTTTGGGGGAGTTGAAATTGAAGTTTCATGATTTTTGGAAATTATTTTAGGGGATGAAGAAATTTCTCAAAAAATTTTATTGTCGATGAATTCTGGCTGTAAATAAGTTGGCAGTTTTTAGGTCAAGTTTGAGTCAAAAACGAAGAAATTTATTTGAATTTTCAAGAATTGTTAAAATTTCATAGGGGTTGTTCACTTAGGGCTCGTTCACTTATTACGTAACGCAAAAAAACGAGTTTTTAGACCCCCCCCTCCCCCTGTAACAAACCGTAACAAAATCTTAGACCCCCCCTCCCCCCTAGTGCGTTACGTAATAAGTAAACGAACCCTTATGACGTCCAATATTAAGGGAGGAGGGGGTCAAAAATTTTGACACATTGTGACAGGAAAGAGAGGGTGGGTCAGGAAATTTTTGACATCCAATTTTTGAATCAGGAAATTATAATTTTTTGTGTCTTGGATTGAACGTCATAAGAGGGGGTGGGGGGGGGGGGGGGGGGGGTATTGACATCTGTGACAAAGATTGAAGGAAGTCTATAAATTCGGTTTTTGGATGGACGTCATAAGTGAACGGCCCTCAGTAAGCTTGGACAAGAGTGCCCAAGTCAAGCCACAAAGCATTACAAATCATAAAAGCCAGCTTCTTTAGGATAAACAACAACAATTCAAAGGCAAAATTGCCTGATTTAAACATTATTTTCATTGAAATCAAGGCTGTAACGATGTCAACAAACAGCGACAATGAGCTGCATAGTTCATAAACAGCACCACGCAGACAAGAAAATTTAAATAATATCCTCAATGGGATGCTTTATAGATAATCATTTAAAAATCAACATTCAACTGTTTCTGCTCAGCGAAGGATGAAGGATCACAAGGTCTCGCATAATCAGTCAACATGACTGTTGTATAATTTATATAAATACATAAAGATGCACAGTTAAGAAATCAAGAAAAAGTCTTAAGAATCTGCAGTTATTGAGAGAGAAAATAAGAGAATCGCATGCAGCACTAGGGTGAAGAGGAGATGAAAAAAATACAATTTGGCGCCGGCATTCTATCTCCCACCACTTTACTCTTCTTCCTTGTCATTCTCATCATTTCTAATTTTCTTTGACAGTATTTTTCGTTCCTTTGTTTTTCGATAATGCGTGCCTGAAATGTTTTTATTCACTCCGGAACAAATATGTCGTTGTGCTGTTTATTATGTAGTCCTGAAAACATTATTATCCTGAATTATGAGCAATCCATCAATGAATAAATTTAACGATGATAGTTTCTGGTAATAATGACTGTGTTTGATCAAGGGGGAAATTACTCATTAGGAAAATTTTAATAACAGGACATAATAAATCAGGAGTATTGAACTGTTGGAACTGAGGCGAAGGTTTGAGAAACTTCGAATGTCATCAAATAATTGACGACCCCAAATCTATTCTGAAAGAACAATCGTAAAAAAATATCAAATATAATGCTTATTGATTATCCAAATGATTCCTTACATATGCAAACGTTTCTCCATAATTTCCACTTTTTATTTCACGCATTTTTATTGTGTACACAAAAATAAATTTTTTCCTTTTCTTTAACATTGAGGAGGGAAGCGCCTATCCTTCACACGGGTTACAATATTTTATTTTTATGATTTAATTAAAGGAACTTGTTATTTCCTTTATTGCTCGAAAGCAATTTTCTTTAAATCACTCGTAAAGCTATGAAAGTATTAAGGAATACTTTATACATTTACAGCCTCGCAAATGCTTTCCATGGTCGTTGTTGGACTGATGCCACTTAAATATGATAACTCGGAACTATCAGCGACCTTGCCACCCTCGATTTTATAAACTGAGAAGACGCCAATTGCTGAGTTTAATTTTAAGGCAAAAAAGATGAAGCATATCCAGAACATCCTTAAATTCCATACAATAATTGCGACTATAAAGAAGCAGCCTGACAAGTTTATCATCACTATGTCGTAGATTATATAAGGTATAAACCAATTAGGACTTGACTGCAATGAAGAAATTGTTTTTGTATTACTGAATTAATGTTTATTGTTTGTTGCTTACCTTCATGATGCCAATTAAAAGGATAGGAGTAAATAGGAAGTAAAGTAGAAAAACTATCACAAGGATTGTATTGAGGAAAATTGTTGAAGCTGTGGATGAGATAATTTAATGATACAGTTTATTCTTTTTATTGACTGTGTGAGACTTTTGAAGGTTACTTCCTTGAGGATAGTCAAATGGGTTATTAACTGGCGTCTACTTAAATTTCTATTTTTCCAAGTCTCAAGATCCCGAAAGAATACTCACATCTAGCATTAGCATTATTTATTGGGTCTGGAGCACCAAAAATTATATTATAATATAAATCCTTCCTTAGCACTTCTTCAAATTCAACCAAATTTGTCTTCTCAATACTCTCGATTTCTAAATTTACAGCTGATAAAAGCAGCAATATCCACATAATATACTCAAATGCTACATAAAAACCCACGGCCGGTCTTAAATCAAAAAAATAGCAAAACTTTTGTGTTGTAGGCAGAGGATCATTTTTATTTGGTTTATCCATGTTTCACTTACAACCTGAAATAATCGACTACTGCTCTCATCATAACACAAAAGATTTGATGATACATCTCGTGCTGCAACACTTTCATCTTGTGCGCATGCTGATTATTTTGTATATTTGGTACAATCCTCTCTGTTTTCGATCTCATATGGAGGCTGATGATTCATTCCGAGTTGAAACGAATCAAAAGCGTTGAAAATATTGAGTTCTTCGAGGTTTGAACATTTTTGAATTGACCACGTGGGCTGAAAATGGCGGGAAAAAATGAAAACACTTCATAATGTAAGGTTTTGAGTTTGAATTTTTCAGATACGTTACACAAAATAACGACTGTTTGATTCTAACACAAATACATGCAAATTTTATGCAAAAAGACTGAAACGATTCCTTGAATAAATAAGTATTTGTCGTATTATTCCTGGAAATGACAAAGTTTTTAAAATGACAAAACAGCTTTTATTTTTTATTCAAATTACGATTTTTTTTTCTTTATTTTTTATTTTTATTTTTTTCTTTTTTAATTCTTGATCAAAAAAATCTGCATTATTAATGATATTTCTCACAATTATCTAAGATAAAAGAAAGCTTTAGACTAGATTTTTAATTTGTTGGTTGTGGGTGTTGTGTATGTATATATTTAGCTATTAATTATGATGAAACTGCTCTTTTTCATCGTACTGCAAATTATCTTCCTAAATATTATTTTCACTCCGAAATTATGTACAAATTTTTTACAATGAATTGTAAACATTTTCATCATATTTTTTTTGTTATAAAAAAGGGGAAGAATTTTTCTTAGTTTGTGACTTTCTTTCCTTTTTTTTGCTTTCTTAAATGTTTGACTTAAATTATAAATTTTCAAATTATTATTAAGATAATTATTAGCATTTATACTTAGACAACATAAAGTAAAATCATTGTGATATCTATATTTATCCACAGCAACTAGATTCAATTAGCTTCCTGAAACAAGTAGTTTGCTAAAACGATCATTTGTTATCTGGGATTAAATTGTTGGTAATGAATTCAAATCCGACTTTTCTGCTATGTAAAATTTTGTAAATTATTTCAATCTTAATATTTTTACATAAAGCAGCAATTTTATAAATTATTTTCATGTTTCGTATGCTACTTGCAATTTACTACAAGATATGCTTTCTAATTCTTTGAATATAAATTAATTAAGCAGGAAAACGATTTTCTGTCAAAACACGTGAAATTTTTTTCACTTCAAATGACACGAAGAATTTTAATATTCGTAAAGTTTATAATTTGATAAAAAAAGGAAATTTAGCAGACAAGGCGGATCCTAACGCATTACCTTCAAAATTATGTTTGAAAAAAGAGAAAACAAGCAATTTATAACAAAAATAAACTCTCTCATGCCATACCCAAGTTCAAAAACTGTATTTTTGTATTATATTGGCTTATCATCTTAAATAATCAATCATGATCAAAGCAATAAAAGAAATTACGACAATAGATATCGGTGATGATTCATACTTCAATTTACTTCATATTTCCTTTAAATATTCTATGCTAATATTTTATTTTACAATCCCATCTTCACTTATTTGACTAACTAGTAAAGAAAAAAATGAAATTAAAAACAGAATGAAAATTTTAACCTTTTTTTTACAAACAAGCTATATTTTTTGTGGGGGTGGCAATTAAAAAAAAATTAACAGGGTTTAATGATAGACGATTGCTGACTGGAAAATTTCCGAATTCTATTGTTTTCTCTTTAAAAGTCTTTGAAGTTTCTAATTAATGAGCTGCTAAAAGTTTTGTGTCTTCTAATGAATTGAAAACATCGACAAAATTATAAAATTGATTAAAACTTCCCAGTCAACAAACGTCTATCGACCTTTGACATCCCTGAAAAATTTGTTTCATTAATTAACATAATTCTTAAAGTTTTTTCTCTCTCAGCAAATGAAAAATATGAATTCTTAATGTATGATTATGTATGCTTCCTAATATGTGACTTTTTTTTTATTGGATAAGCAGCTTGCCAATCCAAATTCAGCTACCACAGCAATAAATAAAACTTTTTTCTTTATAATTAAAAAAATCTTTTCTCATTCATCCTAATTTTTATATATAAAATTATGGCGTATATAATGTTGGAAATTAAGCATATGTGTTTGATACGTCTGGCGTGAGGCTAGTTGGTGAATTTGTCAATGATGAAGGTGATAATGATGAAGATAGACTACTCGATGTTGATATCGATGATGGCGATGAACAATCATCGCTATTATTACCGATTCCATTTGACGTTAAATTCTCATTCTCACAATCAACTTCATTAATGATGATCATGCGACTTGAATTCGTCGATGTCATTTCAACATCCTCATCGGAACTACCCGACTCTGATGATCGCAAACAGTTAATCATGTTTCTATTATTATTGTCATCATTGCAGGGCACTCGTAATGTCAACTTGTTCTTATTAAATAAATTCTTACGATTACGATTCGGAAGTGTTAGTGGAAATGGTAGTTGAGTTGACGATGATTTTGTATGGTGTGGCTCTTGAATAAGAAACGGATGTTGTCCGGTTGGTGGTACTGTTTGAATGGATGGCGGTGGCGGCCTTAGTTTACCATCAGCAATGAGACTCTGTTCCAATTCTAGCAATTGACCCATGAAATTTAAATTAGGTGAAATTATTGGACGTGCAAGTTTCACAAGCTGATACGCCTCAAGTAGGGAAAGCGATTTGTATCGCATCACATATGCAATGGCAATTGTTGCTGAACGTGATATACCCGCCTGACAATGCAACAATACTGTTGAACCTTTTTTACGGGCTTCCTCTGTAAAGAGATTATAAAAAGAAGGGAAAAAATCAATTAAAATATTCACATGAACTATTTTCTTATGTTCTTAATGAACAATATCGAGTCACAACGTTTTTCCATGCTCTGCTACCTCCTGCTCGAATTTTTGCAAAATACATGCGGTTTTATGTTCATTTTGTGTTTATGGCTTGTTCTGAGAATAATATGAGTGTAAACTTTGAGAAATCTTTATGATTTTATTGCTGCCATATTTTAAAATTACTGTAATTTGATGATTAAATGCTAAATCATTATTAAATTTCATCAAATTATAGAAAACTTTTTGAAGTGAAAGAATTTTCCGCCATTTTAATTTTTATTCTAAATCCAATTTGAATTTTAAATTGCAGTTGAGTAAACATGCAGTCTCTAAAGACTGCGTTCCGTCAATCAAATGATCAAACTCGTGACATTATTACCATTTTGTTTGAAATTCAATTGCCACAATCAACAATTTGCATTCCTTTTCAATATTCTACCAAGTTGAATGGAATTAAAGACGTAAAGTGAGTGAGAAAGAGAAGCCAAACAATTTCTTGGCAAGAACTGAACGACTTTTAAAGGTCGTTTGGTTTTCAACATACACAAGTTTTTTTTGCACACTAAATGTAGATATTTTCTTATTCCTCTAGTCGCGCACATTTTTGTACTACTTTTCCATTAAAATTATTATAATTTACCGCTGTTTTTTTTTGTTCTTTTTCGCAAATGTTATGCTTTGTTTTTAATGCTATAATTAGCTGCTCTTATTTCAAAGAGAATGTTGCAAGTTGTGAACGGAAAGAATTTTAATAGTTTTCGTTCATATCCGTTGACTTTGAAAAAAAAAAAATTTGAAATTATTTTTCAACTTTTTTGAATTTTTAATTTCCGTTAAATTTTTCAACATTAAAAAAATTTTAATTATAGAACAAAATTGCCACCTTTTGCATAATTTTCACATGAATATAAACGGCAGCATAGCGGTAAAAGTTTTGCCAAGCAAGGCAGTCATGTGTCTAGTTTACAACAACGATAATATCAATTAACTTAACTGATCGAATCTACAATGAATTAATATCGATACTTGTAAGCACAAGGAACTTGATAAATTGATATTTCTCAATAATTTCAATTCAATTTTCAATCATTTTTTTTTTCTTGCAATATTAAAATGTAAATAATCCTTTTTAAATGCACAAAGCAATTCTTTTCATTTGTTCTGTTTTCATCGCTTTTAAAGTTGAATGCAATTTATTACGATCAAACATTTAAATTCCATAATTTTACTCGTGTTTATTTAAGCTATTTGAGCGTTAATTTTGTATAAAATGATTAACTTTAGTGGGTTAGGTATTGGAAAGTCATATTAAGTCATATCTGATGTTACTTCAAATTTAAATTTAAACGAATTTTAAAAATTTTTCTTCAAAAAATGCGCTTCCTCAATTTTTCTTTTCAATAAAAGGAGGAAAATCAATTTCAAAGCAACTGTAAAAAGAATTGGAATTTTTCTCATTATAGTCACTGACGTAATGCCTTTATTTGTGTAAATGAATTCATATTGTGATCAAGAGACGACGGCATGGCCTTTGAATCTATTTCTATTCCTAGGATTTCTCTCAAATATACATAACACAACATATGAGTATGAAATAACAGATCTGTGATTTTACTGGAAAGATAATTCATAATGTCTCATCCAATTTACCCAGAAAAGAATGTTATTTATTACAATACTGATGAAATGACACAAACTTTCTGCTTTAATGGGCATCAAAAGAATTGAGTTAATGATGAGGATGAAACACTTGATGACTCAATTAGTCGGAATTCAGGTATTTTTACTAATTTACAAAGTTCGTCCCCACACACGTGTGTTTGATTTTAGAAATGTAAACGTCACCCGCATGATGTAAAGAGAAATTATTCGACGATTAGTCAGCAAGACTAAATAAAAATTGCGAAAGAAAAAGTAAATTGTCACACTTTATCGATCAAAGACCTCGATTTGTATACTTCTTGTTATGACGAAGAAGAAGCATTGTGCGAGTGCTTAAGAAACATTTTTTCAAGAACATATAAAGCCGTTGTACTCTTAAACTCGCAACATTTTCATCAAACTAAATCTATGACTCATCTTTTCATTGTCTGAGATTTCTTTAACTTCTGTGTCTTAATTCCTCGTGTGTACGTCGGCATTTTATAGTGACGACTTCTTATTCATTAATTTATGATTGTTTTATTTGCCAATTTACGTTTTGAGGTGAGAATGAAGACTTATGAGTAAGTGGGAAGTTAATATTGATTAGATAAGTCTACCTTGGACTATATTTGACTATCTTGGAATAATTTAGGTCTGATAAAAATTTAATTGAGGCTATTAAGTCAAATGCGCATTAAATTCTCAACATCGCATCAAGCACTACTGAAACTTAATTCATTCAATTCAAAACTCTTCAAAAACTCCTCAATGAATATTTTTTGTGAACACTCGAAATTAAGCATGAAGAAAAAGACACAAAATTGCCAATTCATATGAGAGAATCAAATTTCGTTTTGCTTATAAAGCAACAATATAACAAAAAGTTTTGACTAAAAATGTCATTCAATAATGGATGAAATCATAAACGTCTGTAAATCAAGCGTTTTTGTTTGGTGGGAATGAAATTCGCAAAGGAATCTGCAACATTGAAAAATATTCAGGAATGAGCTCATGATTTATTTTTGAAATATTTTCCAGTGAAAGTCTGTAATTCAATCGTTTTAAGAATCTGGGTTGAAATTCTAGACAATTGGGAGTTTCAAGTGGATTTTGGTTTTGGAATGAGGGCAAATATTTTAGGGATTTAAAGCTTTTGTGAGTTTCTATTTGTTTAAAGCTTACTAATAAGTCTCAAACTCTCTAAGTCTGTCCATAGCATATGTGCAATAATTTCAACACCAAATAATCGTCACAGACTAATTCATTCGCCAAACAAATTATTGCTGGCTTTGAAGTCTTGCGAAGTCAAATAACACAAAATTGAGAAGTTTTCATTTGAATGCGCGTGACATTATGCAGAGTTTACAAAACAGCAAAAGTTTTGGAACTCAAATTCCATTTCCGAAAACGAAATATTAATGAGAAATTTCCATAAATTTTCTTCTCCGTGGACTACTCACAAGGTACGACATTTCTTTTATTATAAATCTATTAATAGTTTATTATTTGAATTTCATATTTTCTAAGCACCTCTATCTATGTGGAATTAATTTTCGCAATGATTTGTACCTCGCACCGACAATGACTGAAAAAAAAATTGTATCGATCAAAGAAAAATATTCAACTTTTCTGAGTAAGCGGCTGACATCGCCATCCGTTAAACTGTTTAAGTATTCATAGCTTATGAAATATCGTATAATAATAATAAGCTACTGGTGTTTTATATTTAAAATAAATGTATGACAGTCAACTTGTCACAAAGAAATTTTTAGCATTCAATCAAAGAATTCTCTGTGTGATTAATTCAACTTTGCTTTTAGCCCATTAATCATAGGGTATTCTGGCAATGTAAAGCATAGAGAAAAAAAAAGTTCGTGCACTATTGTGTAAATATAGTCACACACGCACACATATTCTCATAAATTCTTGTTACAAATAAACGCATTAAATACGCGAAAAATAAATCGTTGATAGTTTACGTCAGCTATAGTTCAGGGTAAAGCAGCAACGTGGATGATTAGTCATCATTTACACACATTGCACTGCGTTGTTTACTATTTACAATAAATTTTTCAATACTGCATTAATTTTGTTTATGCAAAAAAGCGCCCATCAAGGAAAGTAGTCGTGATTTAATGAGATTGTGAGGTTCTGATTTCCTATTAGTCAGAATTGATGAATATTAAGCTAAGGATTACAATTTTTTATAGTTTGATAAATTTTGCATTTCCAGACAAGGCAGTAACGTAAAATAAAGAACTTCCGAAAGAATTTCATGAAACAAAAGAAATCTTGCAGACCATAACCCAAACAAGAATCGAATACCTTCAAATCATCGTAGACAATACAAAAGTTCTATTGATCATCTTTTAGGAATTTCCTGACCTTTACAATAAAAAAAACTTTTCATGCTTAAACTCACAAAACTTTCGAAGGACAAGTCGCAATAATTAATTAGCTATAAGATGATCTCAGAGGGAATTTCTGGAGATACCATATGGAAAATTTCAACTCAAAAAAGTCATTCATATAATTCATAAACAAAAAGGCAACAGCAAAACAATGAAAAATAGTAAACATTTAGTCATGAGTCGCATGACTCAACTAATTGATTTAATTGACGCAATTAAAAGTGCAATAAGCTTTATGTAATTAAGAACCTGCATCGAGTTCTAATGAAGCAAGTTACAAAAAAAATATGTTAATCAGCAGGTTGTTGATGACGAAAGAAACTGGAAATCTTGGTTTTTTTTGCCGTAAAGAAGAGAACAGAGATACATCGAGCAGGTAAGTCATGAGAATGTATGAGTCATTTCATATCCGCAATGCTACATCTTCAAAATGCCGAAAAAAAATATTTTTTTATAGCAATAATCGTCAGCATATTATTAAATTGTGGAGTCATAAACACCAGACGACTCCGTCAGTGAGAGAACAAATAAGAAGCGAGGTATCGTCGAGCCTCTTACAACATCTGGTGCATTTTAATGCTTTACTTGCTCAAGTGATTAATAAATTTACAGAATCATGAACAGCATCGGGGAGAAATTCTTCTCTAGCTCTGTCCCTAACTGTATTATGTAAGACTACATGTGTGTTTTTAATCTAACGGAAAGTAGCAAGGAAATGAAAGAAAAACATTAAACTCCATTACAACTATTAAATCAGCACTTGAAAGAAATACTTTTATTTTTCGAACCCTCAAAAATTTTCCGCCCTCAACACAATTTCCAATTTTTGGCTGTTACATTCATTACATCTGACAGAAAGCGATTGTTGCACACTCAAATTC